ATGAATGCATTTTGCATACGTGTCATGTGGCTGAAAAGATTTTTGTCCCACTACTAAAGAATAGCTTGTCAGAAATTGCCCTGTATTGCTCTCAGCACTATAAAATATCTTGCTACATGTTAACTTCTCAAGCTCCGGCAAGTGTCACCATGTGTTGATGAAACAGAATGCTGAAGAAAGCCTTTAAAGGAACCAAAATAATGTAACATTAAATATTTGACCTTGTACTGTCACTGTTGGGGTGCTATGCTTGCAGCAATACAAAATCAAGAGCTGTGTAGAAATATTGTGTGCATGCTCTGTGGGACCATGCTGGGAAAAGAATGTCACGTGTTGGTCTCCTCCACCTGAAGCACAACAGTGAGGCATCCTGAAACTTTTTGTCTGAGTAGTCAGTCAGGTTTGACAAGGCTGACACATCCCTTACCACACCCTCTACTTTTGCATGGTACAGAAGGAATTGTGCAGTCTTAAGATGCATTCCCTCCTGATGAATTCAAAGACTTTTTTTTTTTAACTCTACTAAAGACTGAGATCATAATATTCCAGGGACTGTCTGAAATGAGTGCAGTGGGTATCCAGGGACCTGGAAACGGCAGCTCTTGGCAGGCAGTTCTGGGCTTGACTAGGACTTGACATAGGCTCACAGTGAGCACCTTGTATCAGTCATTCCCTACCCTCTCCAAACCCTCCAAACACTCCCTGTGGCATATCTGCATTTTAAAGTGGGTTTTGCTGCAGGGCACTCTAAATCTACCCATAATTAGGCACCATTTGAGTGCATTTAAGATATATCTTTCCCATAACAGGGATAGAGCTGAATAAGATGTCTGAGCCCTCTCAGTTTGTTATTAATGACACTTCAGACCATGTCTGCAGTTGCTATAGAGGTATTCCTACTGGCACCAGCCTCTCCTCATATGCATAGAAGAGCTCAGACTGTGGATTCGGAAGTGTTAACTGTCAATTTTCTTTGGAGAGTTCTGCTGAGTGAAGTGAGGAAGTGGAAATTCCCGGGACTGGCATTCACATCATCACAAACATGGACTTTGTGACCACTGCCACTCAGCCTAAGCTGTTGCTTCCCAGGCAGCCCTTGCACAGGAGTGCTGGTGCATAGCAAGCTCCTTGCAAAGACACATAGCCGGATTAGTGACTTGCACGTGCAAACTTGTCCTTACTGCCCAAAACTGTAGGAGTTAGGAATACAGGAGTCACATGCTGGTTCACCTGGATGATTTGATCTGTTTGGAAGGCAAGACCTGTTTTTTCACAAGCTAAAATAATGGAAATCAATTACCTAGTCATACTCAGATTTTTACTTTGAATGTCAGATGTCACTGATTATTGATATGTTTCAGCTATTTTAAGTTTATTTGGTTCCTATACAGGAAAGGAGAGCATTAAATAGAAGATGCCATTAAATAAGCTCAGAATAGGATATGTGAAATAGGAGGGGCTGGCAACTACTGTCAAAAGCTATGAATTAGCAAGCCATTGAGGGGAATTTCAATGTGCCCTTGGGAATTCAGTTCTTAAGATAAAATATAGATGTTTCCCTAATGTAGATAGGGACCAACACAACATGTTAAGTTCAGCTCAGGTAGTGTCCTGAATAGTTAAAGACCCACTGTTCAGCAGCCTAAGCCTAAAACAGAGCTTTTGGGTACACCATTTGTGGTTGGGAAGGAGCCTTTTATGAAAACTAAAGAGACATGCCAAGTATTAGTATTATGTATAAAGGAGCTTCTCTCTGTTTACTAAAGCAGTTGTCAGGTGCAAACACTTTGCCTCTTTGGAACTGCTTTCTCCTAACATCTTCATAGTCTCTGCAATTCTAAGGGAGGCAAGTTAGGAAACATGGCTACAGCACAAACCTTGGCTCTAGCTTGGGTTAAGGTGCCTAAGGGAATATTACATGTCCTCTAGACTAACTTGCTTAAAGAGGGTCTCCTAAGACCCACGCAATTTTAATAGATCCTTACCTTAGGAGACAGAACTCTGTTCAGGGAGATGAACTAGAAACTCAAAATGACTACATTTCATTCTCTCCTTCCTTGGGAGGAAAATCATACAATCATGATCTGGTTTGGGTTGGAAGGGACCTTAAAGATCAGCTAGTTCTAACCCCACTGCCATGGGGAGGGATACCTTATGCTAAGAAACTACAGCTTGCAGTTTTCTGGACATTTGCACTCAAAAACTCTTTGATGTCAAAGAAAATCAGGGAATTTAGGATGTGGCCTTAGGTATCTCAGGACTGGGTCTTTCCAGAAATAATGGAGAAAGGTTTAAGCGAGATCATCCAGTTATGACACTGATATTTTCATACATTTGGATGAATTTTAAATAATATCCATGTGACTTGGCTCTGCTTCAAGAAAACTGAATCCACCTAGGGTAAGCACCCAGGAAATACTGACTTCCAGCAAATTTAATTATTTATATTTATTTCTTTAATTTCTCTATCTATGAAAACACAAGACAGGAGCGCTGTGCTGTTTTCAGTATCAGTTCAGTCTTATCTTCTCCTCTATATTTCAGTGGGGCTAGCTGTGCAAGAAGGACCACCAGAGTCCACTTTCTATTTAAGTACACTTTTCTGTGTCCAGGTAACAGTGACTCATCCAGGCCTCTGGGTGTATCACACACATGCTGTCTCTATCACAAATAATGGCATGTCTCACTGAGTTGGCACACAAGTCCAAGCTGAAAGGTGGGGCTGACTGGAGGTGGTGCTAAAACTCAGCAAGAACCTCAAATCAGCGTAATATGTTTGGATTTCTAAATACACATAAATATAAAAGGACAGCTTTATAAGGCATTTGCTAAAAAAAAAAAAAAGCCTTGTGTTTGTATGTCTAAATACAAATACCTGGCTTGATACACCACCACTCACAAAATCTGATTTCTATATACACTGGTGTATATACAGAGATTTGTATTTACGTTTCAGAAAGTTTGGAGTGGAGTATCAAGGCACAAAGTTAAAGTTTCCTTTATTCTGCATTTCTTTCCTATTCCATATCTGTTTTCTACCTTTTTTTCTTCCCTCTTTACAACATTAAGCCTCTGTATTTGTTTTTCTTACTCATCCTGACTGTTTTTGTATTCTGCTCCCTGATGACTTTGAAATGTGATGTCAAATAATCAAATTGTGCAGATGTAATCTGTATTCAAAACAGCATCCCAAATCCACATATATACACAATATATATGTATGTGTGTGTATATATATATGCACTCATATATAATGATTCACGTTATATATAATACTGCACATATATTACAATATAGAAGTCAGTGTATGACTTCACATATAATAGCCAACTTGCATTCTGGCTGTCTGTAGCATTCTGTACAACTCCAGGCGGTGCCATCAGGATGCCTTTCAGGGCCAAGCAACCCCACGTTTGCCTGGAGGAGCTCTTATGTCTCCACTACGCTACACTTTGCCCATCACCTCCAGCAGCAGGTCAGGTTCTCACATAACCTGTGCAGTGGTGCTCTCACAGAGCCCCGTCAGTTTCAGTGTTTTGGGGAGAACTGCTCTTGTTTGGTTTTCTCTTGAATAATTTAGAAAGTCTTGTCCTTTGGTACGTTTATGTAGTTGTTACCTACTATCTCGTGGCCTATCGCTTGGATTTAAAATACCAGGAAAATAATCAGTGCAGAAAAGACATACACAGGCCCAAGAACTTATGCATGGTGTGAGCTGCTGGTGATCTCACACAAGTTTAAAAAACTTCCAACACATATGTTGTTACAGAGCATCGGGTGATTGATATGGCTAGCTCCTGTACTGCATGTTAGGATGAAAGCTTCAGGATTATTTCAGAAAAGCTTGACAAGGTTATTCATGAGTGACTGCTACTTCTTAAAACCTGTTCATCCTTGTTTTCTAACACCATGGACAAGTAGCCAGACCAGCTCAGGCAGTGCCACTGAGAGTAGTTAAGATATAGTTCCCAGTCAATCCTTGAGACTAACCCAGTGGTCAACAGCCGGTAACAAAGGCAGCGCTGGACATCCTACAGAAACTGCCTTTCCAGACCCCCTGTACACACACAAATGTGTTAAAATGACTTTGTCTCCTAGGATCTGGCTTATTTTATACTTTTCTAAGAGTAAAGCATAACTTTCAGAGCACCAGAAGACAAGAATAATGAAAAACCAAGGGGAAAAGTCATTTTGAATGCCCGTTTCTGAATACCCTCTTTCTCCTGCACAAATGCAGTCAGCGCACGGCACTACTCCAACATTTCATGTGCTGGTGCACAAGTTTCAGTGCCATTTCAGAAACGCACTGGGCTTGGAGTGCCCAAAGCCCTCCTGAACGTTGGACTCTGTGTATTTTGGAACTGATGAAACGCACGTTGTTTTCCCGACGAGCATCAACACCCTGTGATGCGAAGGGGAGGGAGCAGCTGCCAGAGGACCAGACCCATCCTGGACGTAATGGTGCCGATTTAACCTGCGCTGCCTTGTCCAGGTGCCGGTTGCTTTCCGGAGTGGCACAAGGTGTTTGGTGCCGAGGGCATCCCGGACCCGTCCATCCGCCCCGCAGCGCCCCCGGTCCTCGGGCGAGCTGCCCCATGCCCCGGGGCCTCGGCCACAGCCATAGGGCAAGGGCAAGTCAGTAGTTACGGTACAGGGAGGGAGGGAATTTCCAATGGGCTTCAACCTCCACTGGCAACTCACGAGGGCAGCACACGCACCGAGGAAGGTGGACACACCGGTGTGACGGTGAGAGAGGCCGTGCGCTGCCCGGGCGGCCACTGCGGAGCGACAGCACCGCCGGGCGCGGCGGGGCGGGGGCCGAGGCCGCGGAGAATCCCGAGGCAGCCGCCGAGGAGGCGCGGAGGACGCAGGCGAGGCGGCGGCCCCACGCCCAGGAGCGCCGCTTAAAACCTCCACGAAAGGTGTGGCCTCGCCTTTCCTCTGCCGGCGGGGAGGGACGAGACGGGACCTCCGCTCTTGCCGCCGTCGCCAAGCAGCCTCCGCCGGCCGCCCGGCACCGCACAGCGCTTCGCGGCGCCCCTGCCCAGCCCTCACCTGTGGGCCGCCCCGATCCCCGGCTCTTCTCGGCCCTTCCCCGGCCCTCGGTGGACTGCGAGGGAGCGGCGGCACCGCGGCGAGCGCTCCCGGCGGTGAATGCCTTTCCCCCCGTCGGGTCTGGGTCAATCTCTCCGTGGCTTTGCCCCTCGGCCCCTGTCGCCCCGGGCGGCTCCCCCGCTGCCATGAGCATCAACGGCGGGTCGCACCCGCGCATCAACACCCTGGGCCGGATGGCGCGGGCAGAGTCGGGCACCGACCTGCGCTACGAGATGAGCTCCCATGTGGTGGGGGGCGGCGGCGGCGGCGGCGGCGGCACCCACACTCACAAGACCTACTACTACCAGAAGACCTACGGCGGGGACTACGCCTCCGACGGATACGGGTAGGTGCGGTTCCAGCCGACCCTCGGCCCCACTGGATCGGGGCCGCCTTCGGGGAGCTGCCGTGAGGCTGCTTGCGGTTTGATTTCCTAGGTGTGCAAGCTTGCAAGTCTCTTTTTTCTCTTCCTTCCTGAGGAGTCTTTTTTACTTCTAAAAGGCATTTAAACGCAAGCGAAGAACTTACTTATAAAAACACGAACAAAACACTTTTGGTGGTGACTCTCCTTGAAGAGAGTAACAGGAACAAAAAGCAATGTCTTCCCTTTGCACTCAGAGCTGTAAGTGGGTCCGTGCTGGCTGTATTGACCCAACAGTTCTCTGCTGATAAACCTTGGCTTTGCTTGGTGACGTAAAACAAAGCTGTACTGAGATGAATTGCTTTATACCCCATACACGCAGGCTCTGCGCTCCCCAGTAGTTGCAATAACTAAGACTATAAAACTGTTTTAACTAGTGGGAATTGTTCTCGTGTTCATTTTTGAGTTTGTTTCTAGCTTGTTTAGGGCTTGGGAGTTTTAAGTCATGATATTTTATAAGGCGATCCCTGACATTTAGAGCCAGGGAGCAAAGATGTGTAACAAGCAACCTCGGTCTGCTTTCCTCCCCTCCACCTTTTTAACTTTCTATTTACCCTGTTGCTGCAGGCACAGTCAAGCTCTTGTAGCCAGGGTGCCGGCTGTGAATCCTAGCTTGGAGAATGCCTGCACTTGTGGATGCAGCTGTACCAGCAATCTGTGCATGTCACATCTGGCAAGGACTTTTTGGACCAGAGTGGTCCTGTGAATGTATGAAAATAAATGCAGTGGTCATGAAGACTTCTTTAATCTCCTTAAGCTGCGAGTTCACAGGACTGAAAAGCAGGCAGCAGTTACAGTCACCAAAGGAAAGAGCAGTTTTATGATACAGCACCTATACAAAACGCTGCTTGTGATTACAGGTTTTTATGCATGGAAAGGCCCTATTAAACCTGTTGGTCTAATTATTGATGCCACTGATTTAGGAATTGATGCAGAAGCACTGACTTGTATTTTGTGTTAGAATTTAAGGCTTGATTTTATGAATAGTACATAATAAGATTGCAGAAGGACAAGAATTAAACATGCATAGTAAATAATAAACAGCAGGTGAGAACAAGAAGGCTTTTTTATATCAAGCAAAATCTATAAGTGGCTGTAGAGAATTATGATTATCCTAGAGAGCACAGAGTGCTCTGCTTAGGTGTGTCAGACCTGTTGCTAGAGAACCACTGAATGAATGACAAAACTTGCATTCTATGTATTTTTTGTTTATTACTTTGTGTGGTTCTTAGTTTTTGTTCTTTGTCTGACTTTCGGTTTGGTGTATGTGCAGGTAAGTTAGTTACGATGAATTGCAGCTAGAGCACATCTAGTTACCAATACAGTAGTATGAGAATACCTATTTATTTCTATATAATTAGAACAATTCAGTACTTTACTATTGGAGAGTACACATACTGGGACTCCATAACGCTGTTGCTGCCTTGCATTTGTGAGGATTTGTTTTCCTAGTGGTGCTTCATGGCAAATACCTTTACTGTTACAAGACACAAGCAAAGCATGAAAAATGAATGGCAGTGCATTTTACTTCCTGACCATTCTCTTTTTCCACACTTTGGCGCACTAGAGTGTCTTCCCCATCGCTCCTGACTTGTGCTAGAGGAGGAATACCTTCCTTTAATTTATTATTGTTTGGCTTTTGTTACATATTTTTAACCAGTCTATAGTTTCTTAGGCTTTTCTTTCTGTAGTGTTCAATGGTGGTGTAGCAAGAGTGGAAAGTGATCAAAAGGTTAACAACCTTTCATTTACTCTTTATAACATAATATGAATATCTCTTTTTTGGGAAGCCATTTCTGACAAGGAGGTTGCATAGGTTTATTTTTAGTCAGTGCTCATCTGAGTTAAAACGTATCCAAAAATACATTTGTTGCCAATTAATGAAAAAAGGCAGTTATGCCTGATTTTGCACATGTGTTTTGTGCCGAAAATCCACTAAATCCTGTATGTTGTGCTATCAGGATCAGGGCCATCATCTGTGGAATTGTTTTGAATAATTGCATTTAGCCAGACGTCTGCAGTGCCAAAGTTTAGTGGTGTCTACTGAACTCAGAAAACTGAGGCTTCTTTTTCCAACAGGGAAGACCACTCTACCCTAACTTTTAAATGCAGAAGGATTCAAGGTAGGGTCTAGTCTTGTAAGTTTTGGGGCGTATTCTGCCAAACAAGTCTGTGCTGAGTATTACATTACTCACAGAGCAATATGAGACTCTCCCTACCCTTAGGGCTCAGCAAGGTGCTTTTACAACATTCCCGGTTTCTTCTGGCTTGGGAACTCAGGATGAGCTTGGCCCAGAGTACAGATACTCAGCTTGACAGTGAGTCACATGCTGCTAAACTGCCAATTCATCAGAAAAATATTTATCAATGTCTTTGCTACGGAGATAGAAAATCTGATAAACTATGAAAGAAAGGAAAAAAATGCAAAGTTGTGCAGTTTTATTTGTCATTGCTGAGGTTATGGAAAAAAATAGCCTAGGATTCATGGTCACTGAATGATATGAACATAATTTAACTTACACAATTCTGCTTAAGGATTAACTTAACTTCTGTGCTTCAAGTTAAAAGGAGTTAGAAATTCACATCCCGTGCCCGGACATTACTTTCAGGAACTGACAGACAAAGTAAACTTGGAGGAAACTGACTCAAAGCCACATTTTTGCCCTTCTCATCAGTCTCACAGGGATCTGAAGAGTCCTGACTAAGCTGAGTGGTGGTAGAGCTGGCATGGTAACTTCCCCTTTGAGCTCTTCAGACAGAGAGGGAGGAATGTGTCTGAATTGCTGCTGAATACCTGCCATGCTGGCAGAGCCTGCGGCTGTGCTCTGGCTGGCAGAGAAGTGGGTTTCTGTGACAGCTGGTGATAGTGCCACGGCATGAGGAGAAAGTCCCAACCCATTGTTCTGTAGTTAGATGTGTGAGATTTGAAGGTTGCTACCTTTGCAGGTGTGAAAGCCTCTGTCTGGCAAAGTGGGTTTGTTGCGTTTTGAGCGTCTGCTCTCCAGCAGAGGTGTATTTCCGTGGTCAAGGCTAGACCCAGCACTTGGCACCACCTCTCTCTCCCAGAGCCGGTGGTGGGAGAGGCAGCACGTCTGCAGCCTGCTGCACTGGGCAGGTGTGGCCTTTAGAACGGTTCTGTTGCTCCCGGTGATTCATACCAGTGGGAAAAAGCATGAGGATTTTCTGTGAATAGGTGTGGCAGGATCCCTTGTGAAACCCTGCATGCCGTGAGGGTACTAAGCCTCAGGGGTCTTAATAATTCAATAATTCACTAGTGACTCCTAAATTTTTGCACATTTCTAATGGTATTTAGAGCCTGATTGTGCCAGATGCAGATGTCTTTTGAGATTTCCTGCCATCATGCCTTAGTCTATGTGCATACTTGGCAGATGGGACTAGTTTGGCGAGGCCATGGTGTGCCAAAAGTGATCCTAGTTAGACCAGAGACATGTGGGGAGAACCCAGTTATGAAACTCTTGATGCTTTGACACTTGTATTCAACTTCTGTTAGGTGAGAGGGGGAAAGCTGGGTTATAATATTTTAATTTTGCTTTGTATTGTTATGGATATTGTGATTCACCACCTTTAGCCAGCATATGCCAGTGCATTTTCTGGGGTATCCACACCCAACTGGCAGGTGGTGGCGTGTGGGTGGTGGTTTAGTCCAGTGGTATGTGCAGGCTGTGTGCTGGGAATGGAGATTCCAGGTCAGGTTTTTCCTCTGACTTGACTACTCTGGGCATACCAGGTAATCCCTTGATGAATCTATTGCTTGTTCAAACAAGTTTGTGTGGAGGGGGGAAGTGTGAAGAAAAAGAAGTGCTGTTTTTTTGATCTCACTGAGTTTATGAGAATCACTCAATACTCTGATTCTGCTCAAAGACTTTTTTTCTAAAGCTTCCTTCACTTTTAGAATGAATTAAAAAAAGGCTAAAAGTTTTGTGGAGGAATTGGAAAATGTAACAAGGATTATTCTAATTTGTTTCAAGTAGTATCTTCTAGACAAGAGCATCGTCTTTGTATTTCCAAAGCTTTAAGGAACTGTGAAGCTGCTGGAAGGCCTCTCAGTACAGCTGGATGTGCTTCTGTGTCTCTTCCACCCTGCTTCTCTAGACACTAATCGTACTCCCCTGCCCTCCCTAGATAACCCGGTGGCCTCTTCATGTGTACTAACAAAGGCAGAAACCAGAGCAGCCTCCACATTGCAGTCGTTTATGCTGGGAGTGTGCAGGTCTTCAGCAGCAGGAGGCAAATGAGAAAGCAGAAGGTAGCCGACTTTCTTCCTTGCTCCTCGGGTTCTGCAGTAATGACATCAGCTCCTATACTGGGCCTATGTGGGTGCAAGCTGAGTGTTTAGAGAAGATATTTGATTTATTCAAAATATATCACTTAGGAAACTTTTTCACTGCTTGAGTAAGTCAGTGGCAGCAGTACTCAGCCCTGCTGTGTTCCAGTGATGTGAGCACCACCGGGTTTGCTGTGTCTGTCTCATAACTCATCATATGGCCTTGAAAGCAGGTTTCTTGTTTTGGTACAGCTGGGGGTCTTGTGAGGATCACTGGTACTGCTCAACAGTTAAACACAATCCAAGTTCAGAAACAGAGGATTCAATTCAGTTCAAGTTATGGCTGAGTTTAGCTCTGACGGGGTATATTCCAGCAGAGAGGTGTTGCTGAGCTACTGTCCTCCTCAAATCCCAGTGTCAGCATAAGTTGGGCTGTCCTCTCATTTCTCTGGGAGAGCAGGAGCATAGTATAACAAGGGAGCAATGTGTTCTGCCTTGACATGCACGGAACAAGGCGACTCCCGTACAGTGACAACATGAAGGTGCTATGCCTTTCCTAGGGTAGAGAGAGGGAGGGCTACATTTTAAGATCCCAAATAAAAGCAATTCATCTGTGTTTTGAAGTGTTTTCATAATTTTAAAACAAAGAAGCTATCCCCTTTTTTGTTTTCCTTTGTTCCTTTAATAGTTAGTGACTATTAAGACTAAGTTATTTTAATAAAGAATTCTGCTTAATAGTATATTTTTGAAATTCATGAGTTGCCTTCCAAATAAATGTGGTAGTCTAAAATGTTAAGTTGTAGGGACAAAAAGGTAGTTGAGGTCTGAAGCAGTCTGGGCTGTTTCACTCAGCACTGTTCTGCAGCGTTTACAGAACCAAAGGAGCACAGCAAATAGATTATTGCAATGTATATATTTATTAGTAGGAGAGACTCTGCACTCTTTTGTTATGAGTCCTGCTAAAAGACCAACCTCCAATTCTTTCTCATTCTGCTGGAATGGTTGATAACGGTGTATTTACAGGGGTGCAGCAAGCCAAATGAAAAATCTGTTCATATTTTCACTGCATGGTGTGCCTACAGTGTCTGATACAGCAGGATCCTACTCATAGGTTCAAGCTTTAAATGCTGTCAGAGTTAGATCAAATTGCCATAGCAGCAATAGTATGTCATAGCATAGTTGTTGCAATGACCAAACATTACTTTAAACTCATTCAGTTTTATGTAAAAAAAATCAGACAAAGCAAGAAAGACGTTCACAAAATACCGTGTAAAGTAATCCACTAAGTCTGTGTTCTGTGAGAATTGCTGGGATCCTACATCTTCCTGAGGGACATAAATATATTTTTATATAGCATGTAGGTTACATGGTTTTACTCTAAAAATCCAGCTTTATACTTTGTACCGTGTTATGATGCCATCCAGCATGTTCAGGGTTTACCTCAGTTTCTTTGGTCCAGTATTTTTTATGTTGGAAATGGTTTTCCTTTGGCTGTCTGTTTACTACTGCCTCAAGGTTGGATATCATACTGTTCTGCATTGGAGTTTCTCCTTTGATCTACTCTTCCGCATTGGAGGCCTGTTGGGTTCATTAAGAAGTATGTTATACTGAGGGCCTTTGAAACTAATCATGAAATACTTGTCACAGGGTGAAAAGTATTGAATATGAGCTTATATGACATTGTGCTAGTGCCACCTGATATGTCAACCTGTATATGCTGAGGTATCGTCTTGCTGAGTATTTTGGTTTTTAAATTCAGATATTGATTTATGCCCTTGAGTATATTTGAACAGCTAAATCTTCTTCGGATTTGAAGAAGTCCTGTTGACTTGGTGGAGCTGTGCTGTCAAACATCATCTCCTATAGTGGCAGCTGCTGTCTCTGGGTGTGCCCTGTAAACCCATTTAGCTCCATTTGGTCCTTTGACAGATTTGAAAGCCAGTGCCTCTAACAGGCCACTACCTTTTTACTCATTATTGTAGGGTTGATCTCTGTATTTTAACTAGCAAAACCTAGTTAGATTTTTAACAACAAAACTAACATCCAGGGTATTAAAAGCAGCATTGATAAAATGTGTGCTCTTTCCTGGTTTGAATTTGTATAACTCCAACTTTTGCCATTATTTTGGTTATATCTTCTTCTATTGGTTTGGAGAACCTTAAATACGTGCTGCTTTCTTCTTGTGAAGGTCCCTGTGAACTGTAAACAAGCAACTTGTAGATCTTTTTTTGAAGCTCTAATTAGGGTGTGCTTAAGCCTCCCACTTCAAGGCATCTGCTCCTGCTTTGGGAAGAGTTTTGTGCATCTATATTAAACCATCTTAATTTTTCCAACATTTTATTATTTGGACAATAATTCTGGATGAGGTATTGAAGCATCACTGGGACGAACACAAAATACTTATAATTCTACTTCTGTATTTTAATTTGTTTTGTAGTTTATTTGAAAATAGCTTTTCTTCACAACTTTTTACCTTGTTAACTATGATAGCCATTGTTTAGACCTCCTCTCATTGTAAAGCAAAGTAATGCCTTTGAGGTTAACTGAAGCCAGTGGAGATATACTAATTTATTAAAGTGTAAGTCTGGCCACCATCTATAGTTCTTTTGGCTTTAATGCATATTTGGCACTTGTAGCTGCCAGGACATGATTGAAAAAGGGATTGAAGAAAAAATACTCTTCTGATGTTCTAAAAAGAGAAAATTGCTTGGAAGGTTCCTCTCTCTTATTATGTTTCATTCATGAGAATAATTGTGGGTGTAATTAAATGTGAATTTCAAGTGCAGTCACATACTTCTAGATCTAAACACAACAGTGATGCCTAAGGAGAAGGAATGATTTAGAAAAGGAAGCTGATGGAGAGCCTGGCACAAAATCAGACCCGTATGTAATTTTTCATAATTGTTTTCTCTAAGCTGTTTCCAAGGTACACAGTGGTGCATAGCACACTGGGGCGCAGCGTTTATGCAGTCAAAGGGTCACAGTACAAGCAGGGGGCTGCACATGTATGGCTTGTTTTATGTCATCCAGTGATTCTCCAGTCTTGTCTCTACATTTTTGAGGGTCTGTTCACTGGTGTTGGGGGAAGCTGCTGAAAAGTTGGGCAAACCTTTTCCATTTGTTCAAGACAAGCTGATAGAACAGAAGGCTGCTGATGCCCCAGCTGGACATGGTGCAGAGAGCTCTTCAAATTACACTGCTGAATGTTTCTCAGCGCTACAGTGATTTTCCCAAGGACAGTTCTGCTGAGTTTTTTACATTGTCACAATTCCTTTTGTCAAGGATGGTCAGTCTGTTGAAGTCAGTGGAAAGATCTCTATTGAATCCAGATTTCTTGCTGGCTCTGAGTTGGTCAGGTTCCCACTGATGGTCTTTTTGACATGAGTGTTGTATGGAATGTTGGGCTCTTCAGTGATTTGTAATGGAAAAAGTTATCTACTGTGAGCACAGGAGTTGGAAAACTAGGTAGGGCTTGGAAGAACCTTAGTTTCTTACCATCTGTTAGTAGTGGTTTTGGGTTTGGGAGGCGCCTGGGCTTGCTTGAGAGGTCTGATCCCGTCAGCAAGGAATGGTTCCTCACTTGAAGCACCTCACCCCTGTTCAGCTATCAGTGGTTCATTTTGGTGGCTGAATCCCAGAAACCTTCTGGCAGTATGGATGCAGTAGATTATGTGCAAGACAACAATAACAACCCCCTTACCTGCCTTGGCTTTTCCCCCCACTGGCGTTTTCAGTGCTGGAATTTTACTTGGAACCTCCAAACTCAAACTTTATGTATCTGTAAGAAAGCATGTACTCTAACTCCAGGCCCTACAGCTATTTTTGTAATAGCTTGAGCATCTTGCAATTCCTTCTTAAGACACTGCACTAGCTTTGTGCATTTCTGCTGGTAAAAAGGCCCTTCATATGCTTGAATGGACTTGCTTGTGTAGCCAAGGATCCTGCTTTCCTTTTATGCCCTGACTTTTGATGGCTGGTATGATAACATGTGCAATTACATCACACAACTCTATGCTCTAGGTATTGACTTTAACAAAGATTGTGAATAATTCATTCCCACTGTAAAGCTGCCAAAGTTTTGTCTATCAAAGCTACAAATACCTGTGCTGGAAGAAAAACTTTCTCCTTTCTGGCATGCCAGTTTCCATGTTCTACTCTATCCTGTGACAAAGTCAGTCCATGCCAGCTGTTGCAGAATTATAAAGTGGCTCTGCAGGAGGGCTAGATAATGTGTGTGTGTCTCTGTGAACCTAAATGAGGTGGATTATTCCATGTAACTTCCCTTAACTGTTCCAAATTTGTGTTTCTTGTATTTCTTCAAAATATGTGATTCCTCTGTATTTACTTCATCTTCTTCTTCCCCACAACAGTCAGAATGGGACCTGTACAGTGTCCAGACGCCAGAACACCATCCAGGAGCTTTTGCAAAACTGTTCAGATTGCCTGATGCGAGCTGAGCTTATAGTACAACCCGTGAGTGCTTCCTGTTGTTCTTATCAAACGTGATCATGAATATTACAGGGAGTGAATGCTGTGTTGTTATCTGGACTCACAGGCTCTGCTGCTTCATCTCCTTTCTCCCCTTTCAGCTGTTTGTGTGAGGCAACTGCAAGTGTAATGGCATACCTCCTTCGTGGATCTCTTTCTTCCCTCTGTACTCTGTTCAGTAAAACTGATTGAAATGCATCTGGTTAAGAAAAGGGGGACTTCTTGATTCTTAAAAAAACCAAACCCATCCTCAAACAGATTGTAGTGCATCTTGTTTTTCAGTTTTAGGTTAGGACCACTGTCAGTGTAAAGAGCTGTTGCTAATATTATGTCTACTTACACGCTTTCAGTGTGTCCTGTAGAATATTGTCATCATTTGCTGGGCCATAATGAACCTGAATCACCATAGGAAATACCTTCATTATCTTTATTTTGTTTTTCCAGATGATTCATAAAGAAGTATATGAAACTAGATTAAAATATTCTTGACTGTTTTAGCTGAAATGCATACAGATGATCTTTACAGTACAGTAACCTGGTACAAACCCATAGTGCCTCTGAGTGGGTTACTCATCGATGCTAGATTCAGTCCCAGCAAACATGGGATGTCCTCTATTCCTGCTGAAGTCAGAGGAAATGCAGGGTGATGAGTGCACCCTGCTGCTGAGGCCACTGAGATGTGAAACCCCTTCACAGTTCTGGCAGTAAATGTAGTTTAATGCACACTTTTAGACCCCCTGCAGGCAGTAAATTCTTTCAGGAATGAACTCTGTGGTTAGCAGTTCATTTCCTTTTCAGAGATACAGGACATGAGAGCACATTTATATAAAAATCAATGCCAGAGTAAATACTGTCTTTTGCTAAGGATTAATATTATTCCAGTGAAGTTAAAAGAAAGAGATGTTTAGTTCCAGCTTGGTGCCACAACATGCATTGCTTACTTTGTTTCTTTCTTTTCTTTCTAAGGGACAAAGTAATGAGGTCCATAATATTTTTTATTTGCAAAATCAACTGGATTATGTTTTGTTCAGCATGTCTGTGTCAGTGTGGGGTGAGGTCAAAAAGCAGTGTCTTCCTGACTGAAACACCACGACCATGCTGGTCCACTGGACTGAGAGGGTGCATGGAGAATTTGCCTAGTTTTTGGGTGATAAGGTGGGATGCAAATGTGATGGGGCATGGAGCTGGAGCCAGGCAGACAGGGTGCAACCTGCGTTTTTGTAGGAGGGGGGAATTCTTAGAATCTCAGGGTAACTTGTGAAAAATCAGGAACAATATCTGCCAACTCCCACAAGGACAGTGTTTGCTTCTCATCTTCTAAACACAAAAGCATAGTATCTTAAAAACTTAGCACACTGTGTGAAGCCTTGGCTCCACTGAAGTAAGCATTAGTCAAGATGTGCTGTTCTTTATTGAAAGTTTTGGTTGATACTACATTTTAATAATTTTCATGTTTTATTTTAATAAGGACTTTCCAGCAACGGCAGCTCCTTAGTTAGTTGGCCTTCTGTCAGTTAAAATTGGCAATCAGAGACCTGGCAGTTGAAACTTATCATGCTTCAAAAATAATCAGTCCTCATAACATCTCTTTTAAGATATCCAAGATGAATATTTAATTTAATCACCCATTTTTTTAAAAAAATTGTTTTTGTTTGTTTGTTTGTTTGTTTGTTTTTGTTTTAGGAATTGAAATATGGGGATGGTGTCCAGATTAGAGGGAACAGAGATCTGGAAGAGTGTTTTGCACAGGCAAATGACCAAATGGATATCCTGGATGGGCTGATCAGAGAGATGAGGCAGATGGGCCAGCCCTGTGACATGTATCAGAAGAGGTATTGTCAGGGAAAGGTTGGGGGTGGGAATGTGAACTGATAAAAGTTTGTGGCATCTCAAGTGCCTGCCTTCCGTGGTGTTGCAGGATGTGACAGAAGTCAGTAAGGTGGAACTACATCTAACTGGGGGCATGCTAACATGGAGAAGGGCCTTGCAGTAATGTATTCCTGATGGAAGTTCACGCCTTAGTTGTCTCCATGAAATTTTAGTTAGTACATTTTTTCCACAGCTTTTGTTTTCAGCACTTTGTTTTGAATACCTGGTGGTCCAGTAAGAGAGATAAATTACATTGTTTCCATGCTTTCCTCATAGACACTAAGGGCTTCCTTCACTTTCAGGCTGCTTCAGCTTCAAGAGCAAATGCGTGCCCTGTACAAAGCCATCAGTGTTCCCCGTGCCAGGAGGGCCAGCTCCAAAGGTGGTGGTTGCTTCTCCTCTCAAAGTGGCTCAGGCTGGGATGAGTACACAAAACGTGTCACAAGTGAATGTCTAAACTGGATGAGGCAGCAGAAGGTAAATCAGTGCAAAACCCAGAGACAATGCTAAAACTTGGTGTTGTTAATGAATGTCACCTCATATGTAGTAATGTTTTGGGTGCCAGTAGAAGAGTAAAAATACTCATGAATGCTTGCATATTATTCCAACTTCCTCTTCCTCACCCCCCTGCCACCCATCTCCCCAGTATTTTATGTACAGTGAATTTCCACTGAAATACAAACATGAATTTGGGGTCTTCTTTTGCAGAGGAAAAAGTGTGAAAGTTAGATTTGAAAGCTAAATGGGACACAGCTGTTAACATAACAAAAGGCACTGGAATATTTGTGTTAGAAACTATTGTGCTCAATATTTCCCTCCTTCCTTCCTTCCTTCCGCAGATTTCCTTTGATTCATATTTATTTTAACCCTTTACACAGATAGGACCATCTTCACAGATTTAACCATTATCCAGTGTGTTACAATTTTTCTCCCCCTCTATCTGTCTTTATCACAGTGGGAGCCAAAAGGTAGAGGTGATTGCCACAGGGACTAGACTTTCAGAAGTCAGTGCTGAAATACGCACAGAAGTGCTGAAGTTACTGTCTGTTGCATTCCCAGAACAAATTTACCTATGCATAGCTTCTGCTTGTGTAACCTGGAGTAGAAAACACACACTGAGAACCCACAGTCTGTTTTCGTGCTGCTCCTCCTCTCTCCCTCTCTCCCTCACTTTGTCTCTCTCCCTCTCTGAATTTCTCTGTCTCCCCCTCTGTTTCTTTCTCCCTCCCCCTTCTTCAGTCCCTACAGAAAAGCTGAAGTGGGGCCAGTAAGCATTTAGCTCACTGGGAAAATCTGTTTTGAGCTTGCCATCGTGCCTCTTCTTTCCACCATGCCTTGCTGTATCCCAGTACATGCTCCCATTGAGACTAGGATAATGTTTCCCCTAGTAATGTGGTGAGATGTGGGAAAAAGTTCTGAGCACCTGAGGTTTTCTGCTGATGTTTTTCTGCTTTTTTTTGTCTGGATGGTTTGCTGACAGGAGGATCAGGTGGGAGGAAGATTGGTCAAATTTCCAATGCAGAATTAGAGAAAGCACAGTGCAATCCAGCCTTTGTTCACATACTGGCAGCCAGCCATGACTGCCACTGTTGCTACAGTCTCTTTAGATTGTTCAAATATAACCAGGAGGGTCAAAGTCCTGTAACTTGTAAATGGCTGAAAGAAAAATGGGTTTGTTTCTTGGATCGTTTTCAACACTGCCTTTGAACCCCCATGCTTGAGTGTCGTTCTGGCTTTATTGTCATCTATTGACTCATAGAGATTTGAATCCAGACTGGTAATTTCCAAATTCAGTCCCAACCCAGGATGAAGATATCTGGTTCTTGACTGTGTGCATGCACAGACAGGCATTCAGACAGAGTCGTAGTGTATCTTTACAGCATTAAGGAGGATCTGGGGTTTGAGGAGCTGAATTGTGAATTCAGTGGCTGTTAGTATTTGGAAAAAATGAAACAAAGAACTGCAGTCAGTTTTTGGATTAATAATTATGAATAATATTACCGTTTTCCAAGGCTGTTTCTGGAGACTTTCGCTTGGCACCCTACAATAAATGTTGTCAAGATGCAAGACAAACAAAATGTTTTATAATAATTTGAGTTTATCTTCTGGGGTTTTTTCTTTCATTTAGTTTGACTGGATTTAACTCAAGTTACTGAAGTTTACATGAGGAAAATTAAAATGGAAATATAATGTATTGGGCTACAGAACTTAAATGGGTATTTTCACATGAATTGCATGAACAGCATTGTTTGATAAAGTCATAGTTTGTTTTCAGAGTGATAAGAATGTAACTATATTGTAGAACATAAAAAAATAGTTTGATTCAAAGAAAACAGATGAAAATACATTACTGAGTGTGCTTCATCTAGTCTAATTATAAAAAAATATTTTTCCTACTTTGTTTCTTCTGCTTTGGGAGCCGGTCACAGAGCTTAATTGATGACAATTTAAAGAAATTGTAACCTCCTATTCTGAACTTTCCTTTGTTCAGTTTTACTCTCTACTGCATAATCATGTTTTCTTCAGTTCCATTCCTTTATGCTCCAGTTTGGGTAGTAATGTTGGAAATGAAAGTACAAATACTGTTTTTTTCTCCCAGGCTGAAATGGAGCTAGTGAAGTGGGGGTTTGATGCAGCATCCATTGAGCAACAAATAGGAGACCATAGGAGAACTCACAATGCCATTGGAGACTATCGCTGGCACTTGGACAAAGTCAAAACAGATCTGGTAATTACTGACGTCCCTTACACATTGCTTAGTCTAGATTTATATCCTTGCTTTACTGGTGTTCCACTACAAAGAAGGAGTATTGAGTAGTTCATCCTCTCTTCAGAAAGCACTGGTGTCATGATAGCTACCACTTTCAACCGTAATTTCATGATAAAGTTGTGTTTCAGTTCTTTTCCCAGATTTTGAAATGAAAATTTAGTAGCTATTTAACTTTTTGTTGTTGCATACCAAGGCTGGCAAATAAATATTGCAACATTTTTCGTAACAAGAATGACTAAGAATGATTATTCTCACTTGCTGTCTAGGTGTGTTAAACAAGAAAGTGAAAGAATAAGGTGGGTGCTCAGATGCAGGCTTGAGTCATCAGGTTTTTTTCTGTGAAGCATGCACAAATTCTGAGCTAAGCTTAAAGCTTTTCTAGGTGTTGATTTCTTTAATTTTTTTCCCCTTCTGAGACTTTGTTCCACTCTGAATTTTGTGATTGGAATAAAGAAGTCACTGAAAATGCAGTTACCTTCCTCTGCTATCAGCCCAGCAGTTACAGAGATGAGAGAGGGGGCTTATTTCATTTCCATTCATCTTTTCTCTAAATTGGGAGGAGAGAGTTCAGTCTAAAGAAAAGGCACTCTGTTCTGGAGCTCTGATTTCTCAACCAAGCTGAAGAGTGAAAGGGATATTACTCCTTTTTTCCCTTCAGTTTCAAATAGGAAAGGTGATAGTCTGGCCCTGTAGAATACCAGTTCCAAGGCTGGGCAGGTTATCAGCCATAAAAGTGGGAATAAAAATTGTGGCCTTCTGTTCACATTGTAATTTATAGTACTTCATAATCTCCAAAGCTAGCTCCAGGACTGGCTGGCCTAGGACTTTGGTACAGAAAGAAATCCAGTTTCAAGAGTTACATGCTAAGCATCCCTAAGGATAGTAAGTTTGTCTGAGCCTTGGTTTTATGCTTGCCGTGGTCCTCCAGTGGTGCATCCATCCATGTCTGTTGTAGGCATTTGCAAGTTACCACCTGCAGTTATTGTGATATTAACACTGTAAAGGAAATATTAGCAAGTAGGCAACTTGTGAAAAGCTCACTAAGTATTTCCTGTCTCTGTTTCAGCGGGAGAAGGCTGCGGTTCATCAGCTGGAGGAAGAATATGAAGGCCTGCTGGTGAGCATGAGATGTGTTCATTTCTGATAACCTCTATGACAAAGGTGCTTTTTGCTTTATTAACACTGGCATGGTAGTGAAGGGACACTTCAGGTTTTGACAGTGACAGAGTGACAGAATTATTGAAATAATTCTATTCAGCAGTAAACTGACAGTGCCTTTTAGTTTCTCGATTCATTTTGAGTCATGAACTTGAGATTAATTTATTGCCTGGTGTATAATTGACTTACTCCCACAAGGAAGTTTCTAGTTTGCACCTGGTGAAGGGAGTTGGTCACTAAGCAGGTGGAGAGTGGAACTCTACCTTCTTAATGGGTGTAAGCATAGCGAAGAAATCAGACTGTATACGATGCTTAAAAAGTTACTCAAAGGTGGGATTAGAACCAAGTTCTGTGTAGGGCAGTGCATCTTCCCTGCTTTGGATTTTCATATAAAATACAGTGAGAATCTTGTGCAAATGGTTTATTTAACCCTTGGGATCGGAAGCTGATTCCTGTGCACATTTCAAGCAATAGGATCTGTATTATGGTGTGAAGACAGAGAAGGTATTTTTTCATGAAGTGTCATCTGTGCAAAAGGTGATTCTACAACATCAAAGATGTCCATGAGCAGCAAATGCAAGTAAATGTGATGTTAAGTGTTCAGACATTTTTTGTGCATTTCTTCTCCATGCCTTTTTGCTTGCCTGCATGTCTGCTACATGTGTTTGCAATGACTGCTGTTGTCAGGTTCCCGTTTTTCTATAAATCCAGACACATTGTCCACTGTCCATTGCCATTAGGTTTCATAATTCAATAAGCCCAGGCACACTATCTGCTGTCCGTTGCCAACAGGTTTTATAGATGTGTGGGTTTTACTGTTATTTTAGTTAAAAAAAAAAGAGGACATGCTGTGCTGCGCTCTTGGCTTCCCTTTCTCCACCCAGCACAGGCATTCCTGTGTTTATGGCTTCTCATTTCTGGAATTCCTTGCAGAAATACTCCTTTGAGAGAATGGATCAGCTTCGTCAATTCCAGAACCTCATTCAGGCCACCAGCAGAGAGATCATGTGGATCAATGACTGTGAGGAGGAGGAGCTTCTCTATGACTGGAGTGACAGAAACACTGATATTGCCAGGAAGCAGGAGTCCTTCTCTGTAAGACAGCTCAACATCCTTCCACTTTCCATGGGCCCTCTTTTGGAATAGTGAGGAAGGAACAACCTCTCTCGGGACAGACTCATCAGAGGATGGGGATTTCTTCATGTTTCGAAGTTCTTGGGGATTTTATCAACCCTTTTCAATTAAGTACAGTGTGACAACCTTTTGAGTCAAGATAGGACATCTATTAGAAGATTGTGCCCTTATTCAATCAGTTGTCACGGCTTCTTCTGACCTTGGAAGCTGACCTTCTCGGCACAGTCCACTGTGGACTAGTGATCACCTGTAGCTTGTGCACCCAGTCACTATGTTGGCATGCTAAACTAAGGCACTTGAATCAGGCAGTTTAAGTTCTCCCTGTTAGGACTATGTAGAGGCTCGGGGGTCCCTGTATTTGGCCCTGATCATCTGTCATCAGGAAGCAGAGCTGTACCAGAGGGAACTGCTCTCTTCCTCTGATGGTTTTGCCAGCAGCACATAAAGTGCACGGTCTGATGTAGTTTGCGCTGCTCCTTCTCATCTGTGGGTATGTAGGGAAATTGAGCATGTGTGTTTGTTTAACCAGTGTTGGTGCTGATCATCAAACTGAAAAAGGGATGAAGGTTCACACTACTAAGGAGGTACTTTTTCTTTTTTTAGTTCAGTTGTTTTGGATGTTGCAAGATGTAGTCATTTTTACTTCCATCACTCCTTGGACAGGCAGAACTTTGTGTGCTTTGCTCTGTGAAGCACCGAGCCCAGAGACTAGAACTGAGATAATTGTACCTTTGTTGATTCTACTGTCTTCATAATTAACTTCAGTACACCAAATAGAATTACTACATAATGTTAGCAGGGATAATTTTATTATTATCACAACTCTCTGGAAAATTTAGAACAAATCATCCTGTGCAGCGTACCTTTGGGAGCTTGTTTAATGCTGTGTTTTGCTTGTTTAGAAACGCATGAGTGAACTGGAGCTTAAAGAAAAAGAACTCAACAAGCTAAAGCAAGAAAGTGACCAGCTAGTGCTCAACCAGCACCCTGCTTCAGACAAAATCGAGGTGAGGTAGACACACTTGTGCAATTTCACTTCCTTCTTTAGTTGTTACATGAGAAAAGTTCTCAGTGAAAGTCCACAAATGAAGAGCTGCCTCTGGACACAAGAAGGGTTTGCCTGCCAAAAAACATGTCCATTTTACCCAGCTCTATTAAATAAATGTTATTACCTTCCTCTACAAACCTGGCCGTAACAACTGCACAATGATAGATGCATGTAAAAATTAATTCTAAGCTTGGGGAGTTATCTGAGGGTATGAAATTGCTGTATCTTGTTTGAGTTAACTACAGTGCAGTGGAATTTATGGTAGGAAGGCATGTCACTGTTGTTCTGCTATCTTAGTTGGCATGTTTTGAAAAAAGTCACACCCTTTGTTGAGGGTTTATATTTAATCCAGGTGCAAACACTTTCTCCAGCTGAAATTGATGGTGCCTTTCTACAGCTTAGCCAAGACAGTTTTGCTCTTGCAGCTTGGTATACATTTACCTTTCAATTATGAAGGCTGCAACAATTTGGAAGACCTCATTTTATTAGGAAATATTGTAGTTCTTATAATTTTAAGAGTGCATAAGAACCCTGAAACCGAAAGAAGCTACAAGGAAAAAAAAGATTAATCCTTTCCGCTTTTTAGTGTGTTTGCTTTTAACTGTTACTATGTTGTGTAAAATCACTATTCCTATTTATCCTGTCGTCAGTTTCTCTCTTAAAAGAAAGATCCTTGTAAGCTCCAGCAGTGAAGTAAAAGTTGTGTGTAATTTTCTAAAGCATATACATTATGACTGTGTGAAGATTTTGAATTTAAAAACAACCAGCATAAAAAGTCATGTTAGGCAGTATTCCTTGGAAGGAGGAGAACACGGCAATTTGCAATTGAAATATTTTATTTGCAGTACTGCTTGTGCATTTCACCCTTTTTTGTTAATGCACCTCAGGCTTTATGCCTCTTCATGCAAGACATGAACAGACTTCTCTTTGTGTCTCACAAGCAGGTATTTAACTCATTTCAGTGAGGTAGATGCTCAGAAGTTGCGGAACTATTTGCATGAGTTACTCTGTTCTGGTCTGCGTGAATTTGTTTTTGCAGATTTTTCATTTGCATTTATGTGGGGCATGGGTAATTTTGCTTGAGTCTAGAGATGGGAGAGAGATCAGTGTGGTGGTTTGAGTTGTATATATTACTGTTTTTGTTAGGCCTACATGGATACATTGCAAACTCAGTGGAGCTGGATTCTTCAAATTACCAAATGTATTGACGTTCATCTGAAAGAGAATGCGGCTTACTTTCAGGTGAGTAGTGATATGGAGGATTCACATTACTTTTGTTAAAAGTGTGAATCCCATCACAGGTATATTTATTGTGCATAACACATTGTTGCCACGTTATAAATGCTACCATTCTGCCAGAGATGAACTGGGATTTCTCATTAAAGGAGTCCATAAATTTTTAGCAGATATTTTTAAGAGCCTCGTACAACCAAATTCACAACTATTCTTCTGTAGTTTTTTGAAGAGGCCCAAGCCACAGAATGCTACCTGAAAAACTTACAAGACTCCATCAGAAAGAAGTTCATCTGTGATAAGAGCATGTCGCTGCAGACTTTGCTGGAGCAGATCAAGGAGCTGGAGGTACTGTCACACTCACCTGACAGGTTATGTTCTGTTTTTCTTGGAAATCAGCTGCCCTTTTCAGATACCAAATGTAAACCCAGGTGCACGGCAATGTTTATATACAGTACTGTAGGAACTTGAAACCATGATGGTATATTCCTGCCTATTTCACAGAATCACAGGGTATATTGAGTTGGAAGGGACCCACAAGGATCATCAAGTCAGAAAGCCTACAAATGGACAAGTGTTGTTTTAACTTGTGTAATACTGTTTGGAAATTCTAATTTCTTTCTAAACCTGTAATGAGTCCACCAAATTCCAAGTTTCTGACATGCCAACAAATTAAAAAAAATGAAATACTTTTTTCTTAGGTGGTAGAATAGATTTTACTTCAAAGGATAAATACATTCAATAAATGATTCTTCATGTCACTGTATCACTCTTGTCTCTTTGAAAGGACATAACTCAGCTTTTTTAGCTGTTTGCTTATCATGAATTAAGTACTACAATCTCAAATTGGAGAAGAATGGTGTGATGTAAAAGACCAATTGATGAAGTCAGGTTTGAGAGTGTAGTTATTACCTTTTTTTGTTAGCAATTATTTTGTTAGATTTTTTCAATTTAGGCCTGTGTTTCTTAAACATCACTGTAGCCACATTGAAGATCTGTATGGAAAACCTGCTATGAAAATTTTGAAAACTTTGCATCTTGCCAGAGCTGCAAAGTTACTTAATTTGATGTTTCTCTTCTCTTTTTTTAAAACTGCAGTTTTACATTATAGGCCAAAGACTCATCCCACTAGAGCTAATGTAAGTTTTGCCTACTGTAAGCTCCAGATGAATCCCTCTCTTAATAAAACAGTGGAAACTAGATGACATTTCTTTTTAGAATTATTTCATAATATACAATTAACTTTTGCAGAATGAACGAGAGAGAATTCTTGAATATAAGAGGCAAGTGCAGAGTTTGGTGAACAAATCCAAGAAGATTGTGCAGCTGAAGCCGCGTAACCCAGACTACCGGAGTAACAAGCCCATTATCCTCAAGGCTCTGTGTGACTACAAACAGGATCTGGTACTGTATCCCTTTTTGGCTGAGAACAAACATCACATAAACTAGAACATGGCAAGTTAGTTAGTAAATAAACCATTGACCCGACAGGTATAATCCCTTTGTCTGCTTTTGGTCTGCTTAAATTTCTTCAACAGAAAAAGCTCTTACTTTCTTGCGACTATGAATAAACAAGCTAAGTTCTGGTTGGTTAATAAGTCTAGTTGTAATTACTAATATTAATCAGTTAAATATCATTAATAATCACATTTCAAATTAGCATATAAAAGTCTTGTTGATAATAGGATTAGAATTGTTGATACAGATCTTCCCAGCATCTACACATTTTTGGTGATTGCTCACCTTTCCAGTGTCTCTCTGGATCCTTAGGTGAACATTTCATCTAGTAAAAGGTGAGGAGTATACTTTGGTACATTGGTATCCCCATTTTTTTAATTGGTGGAGTATGAAATGAATGATGATGTTTTTGTTTCCTCCTCCGTACTGAGGCTGCTTGGGTTTATTTCTGTACTTTTTTTTCTTAACAGTAGGCTTAGATGCATTTTCTGCATACGTGCTTTTTCCTGCTCCATGACCACACTTGTGGCTGCACTGTGTCAGGATTTCTGGCAGTTGGGGCTTGGTGAATCTAGCTCTGCCATGCTCACTCACAGTCTCTTTGCAAATATGGACACAGCACTATGCATGGTTAGGCCTCGAGCTCACTGGCTTACAGCCATACATGATTTCATAGTTTACCATGGCCATGTGTCCACATTCAGTCTTTGATGTTTGTCAGGGCAAGCCCCAAACCTGATGATGAACCAGACTGGCAACTGCTCAGTGTTCTGTGGCTTCTGCTTCCTTTTTTTGTTTGTTTTTGTTTTCTCTACATGGAAACCAGATTCAGGGAGAAGGGGTTGATCTATGCTGATGTCTTGCCCCATATGAAGCCAATGTGCACACCCAGACCTGGCAGCTGGGAAGCACTCCTGCTTTTGTGATTGTCATACATCTTCCTTGTCTGTCTCTCCTAGAAACTCCATCTTACTTAACTAAAGAAAACAATTGTTATGTGTTCCTTACAGAAAACAGTGCGCAAAGGAGATGAATGCATCCTGAAGGACAATAATGAGCGCAGCAAGTGGCTGGTGACTGGCCCTGGAGGAGTGGATATGTTGGTGCCATCTGTCAGTCTTATCATCCCACCCCCCAATCCTTTAGCAGTGGATCTTGCTACAAAGTGAGTTGCTGCCTGCATTTGAACACCTGCCATTGGGATTAGATAGAGCAGTTCACTCAAAATATCAACCAGTCACAAAATACGATCTGAGCCTTGATCGGAGTTCACTCCCTCTACCCCTAAGGGTAGGGGATTAAGGACTGGACCATTGCCTTGAAGGTCATACTTCAGTGAAACTTGCTGGGATCTAGGTTGGGGCCCAAAAATGTTTAAACATGAGCTTCTACAAGGATTTTCTCATCTCTAATAATGAAAGTCATGGATAAATTAATTTCCAAGATTTTTTCAAGTAGGGAACAAGCCTTAATGCACTCCACATTTGGTGAATGTTTCTTGGGATGTTTTGTAGCTGTGCTACAAGGACAGATGCATTTTGATCATGCATTTTCTTTTCTCATGTCAGAATTGAGCAATATTATGAAGCTATTTTAGCTTTGTGGAACCAGCTGTATATCAACATGAAGAGCCTGGTGTCTTGGCACTATTGCATGATTGACATTGAGAAGATCAGAGCGATGACTATTGCCAAGGTAAGACACCAGCTGGCCTTACCTGCAGACCAGAGACATCCATGACCTGATGACTACTGTCCCAAACAGAGCTTGCAGTATCCTGTGCAGATCTATGTTCTGCGAAACCATGAGCCTTCCTTTCGCTGGGTTGCACAAACAATTACATATGGAAGATGCAATTTTATTAAAAGAGAAGCAAAATTATATCCTATTCAAACATGATATAGATAAACAGAAAGATTAGCTAAGGGATTAGCTATTATGTACTTGCTGTACTTGTTTCCATTGTGCAAGTGCATGGATAGACAGAGTAAGAGGTAGAATTTCAAACTATTCTTAGGTTATGGAATGATTGTAATAAGAATAGATTAGCTTAGTGTGTAGTCTTAGCACCATACTTCTAGAGTTAGCCTCAGTAGGTTTTGTTCTAGCTATTACTTTGGGTTTTTTTCTAGGTGTATTAGTTTGATCCTTATTGATTAAGTAGTCATAAACTTTTCCCAGTTGCTTTTCTTTTTTTATTTTATTTTTTTAAATTTCCTTCTTCTTTATTTCAGCTGAAAACAATGCGTAAGGAAGATTACCAAAAAATAATAACTGACCTGGAGATCCATTATCAAGAGTTCCTCAGGAATAGCCAAGGCTCAGAGATGTTTGGTGATGAAGACAAACGAAAGATCCAGACTCAGTTCACTGATGCTCAAAAACACTACCAAACCTTGATTATACAGCTGCCTAATCAACCACGACAGCCACAAATAGGTTTGTCATCCTCCTGGTTTTTGGAGAGTTTAGACTGCTTGGGTTTCTTTGTTCCAAGGGTTGTGCATGGTACATTCTTTTTATGTGAAAATGTTCTCTTGAACAAATGAATTGAAATGTGTTCAAGAACTATTCTGCTGTCTCCCAACGTAACAGAATTGGTCATGTGCAGGGAAGATTTTGTTCTTTCCTCCTTTGGTGGGAATCTGGGAATAGTCCTCCAAAGGTCATGGAACTTGCTGGGAAAATGAGAGGAATTTAGTCCATTTGATATGTTTTCAGTTATTAGGAAGCAAAATCTCACTGCTGTGATTGGAGAAGCAAGTTTGTCTTTTTGTGAAAGAGCGATTTCATTCCCTGAAACAACAGCATAAGGGCCCAGATTTTCTGCCTGTTCTCAGTTCTACAGATCCACTCAGTGCTTAGATCACTTGGGCAGCACATTGGCTTCCTGTATGTGGGTGTTCAGTTCTCTGGCAGTTGACATTTACCCAATTCACGTTGCAGTGGTCCCAACTGAGACCTGTCCTGTGGGTTCCTCAAACACGGTTATCGTTAATGAGAGAAACCGAGAGCATGAGAAGCAGGAGGCCTGGCTGCTGATGGAGCTTCAGAAACTTCGGCGTCAGATTGAAGCTTCTGAGATTCAGATGGTTCAAAGAGCTCCTCTTGGAGTGGATCAAGGGGCTATGCATGACTTTTCAGTCAGAATAAAGGATTTAGAGGTAACCGTGGATATTTTTCTTGGAGCACCTCAAACTCAGCATGACTCTATGCTGCAGAGCATACTGCGGTTCTGCTTCTGATCAGTTGGGGAAGACACACATCCTGTGCAGAAAATTCTCAGTTGGAAGCTAACCGTGATGATTTGGATTGGAGTTAAGCTTCTAGGTAGAAAAAGTTGATTCTTGAATTTTAGAAGTAGCATTCTGCCCGGCAAAGAATACAGGAAGACTGATCTCAAGTGACATGAGCTTGTGTTAAGCCTCATCCAGGGTAAAGCACTGTTAAAACCCTTTTCCAAGGACCCTACTTTACTAACTTGCTGTGAAGTGCTGTCTGTGGATGCAGACTGGATACATGAGTCCTACAAACTCTCTCCCTCTCCTAGTTCTTAAGATTTATAGGAGACTGGAGAGAGAAGATTAGTTAGAAGGGAGAACAGGTTTAGCATGTGAGAAATTTCCCTGAATCAATGAGGTTGCAAAGGTATTAAGAGCAGAAGGACCTTGGCATGTCTGCCAAGTGCAGTAGGCAGCTGGCAGTAAAGCACTTTGCTTTCAACAGAACTGAGTTTCAGAGTGGAGTGGCTCAAAAAGCGGTATTACCTATTGCAGACTGTCCAAAAAGAAACTGCTCAATATTACTTGCCTTGAAGAAAACAAGCTCAGTCACTGCTTCAGTCGTCAGTCAGGCTGGTTATATAACAGTAGACTATTTGGATAAGGAGACCAATTCCACATGTGCTGTAGAATGATCAGCCAACCAAAAATGTGTAAACCAGGCATTCTCTTTCCTTAGGGTGTGCAGAACGACTCTCAAATAATGGCTGAAACCCTCAATAAGCATAAGGACTTGCTGCCTAACTTCAGAGGCTGTGAAAAATATGTGTACTTGCAATCAGAGATAAATGCCCTATTTCAAAAGCTGGAAAATATTAATGGTGTTTCTGCTGGCTACTTAGACAGGTAAGAAAATTGAGGTTATAACCATAAATAGTCACTTTGTTCTATAATGCTTAGTCCAGATACCTGCCTTTTGTTAACAGTAGTGTAAAATTCCACCTTCTTTTCTACAAATTCTGCACATGTGGGTAGAAACAGACATGTGAATTTCTTCTCTTTTCTGGAATACTTTAAAAAAAGAAAGTGAGAATCCTGGGTATCACAGAAAATTCTTGTGTTACCTATTCTTTTTAACTAAACATCTGCAATTAGAAATATCACCTTTCCTTCCCCAGTCCACAATGGATTTGTCTTGTATTTTTTATTTTAGCTTGAATGCACTGAGGTGTCTGCTCCAGATTATTCTACAAACAGAAGATGTGATCAGAGTTTTTGAAGTCAGGCTGTCTGAAGAGGAGACTGTTCCTTTGGATCTTGATAAAGTAGAGGCTTACCGGGCTTGTCTGAAGGTGAGAGGCCAAGACCCAAGGACACAGAAAGGCAAAATTTGTAGCTGCTAGCACTGATCTGTTGAGCTGGGTGGAACCCTTGAAAACTATCAGAGATAGAATTGCTGATCTTGTTGTATTTTATACATAGGCATACAATGCTTTTGTAAATCGGGCACGGTGCCACTGGATGGTTGAGGGAGGTGATTGTCCTGTTCTACTTTGTGCTCGTGTGACCTCACCTTGAGCACTGTTTTGAGTGCACTTTTGGGGGCCACAATATAAGAAAGATACAAAGCTATCAGAGAGAAGGGCTGTGAAGGTGATGAAGGGTCTAGGGGGCATGCCATACAAAAAGTGGCTGAGGTCACTTGCTCTGTTCAGTCTGGAGAAGAGGAGACTGAGGGGAGACCTCATTGCAGTCTGCAACTTCTTCACAAAGGTAAGTGGAGGGGCAGGCACTGATCTCTCCTCTCTGGTGACCAGTGATAGGACCCAAGGGAACAGCATGAAAGTGCCAGGGGAAGTTTAGATTAGATATTAGGAAACAGTTCTTCATTGAGAAGTTGGCTGGGCACAGGAACAGGCTCCCCAGGGAAGCGGTCATAGCACCAAGCCTGACAGAGTTCAAGAAGCGTTTGGGCAACACTCTCAGGCACATGGTGTGATTCCTGGGGCTGTCCTGTGCAGGGCAAGGAGTTGGACTTCAATGACCCTTGTAGGTTCCTTCCAACTCACAATATTCTATGATTCTATGGAATCAATGAAAGGAATATATGGGTTATTACTTCTTCCATCCTCAGGTTGTTGCTGCCCCTGCAGCAAAAGCAGTTGCATGGAAGCTTTCCATTATCCATTTCTGTACAGTATTATCTGTGTTTATTTGCATCACTCGTGAAGGTAGATTTGAAAGCAGTATCTCCTTTCTTGCAAACAGGCATGTTAATTGCCCCTGTTGTTCTCTAGATGTAACACGTAAATTTAAGCATTATTGTGTGTCCTGGTTTTGGTATAGGGTCCTTGTCAAATCTTATAGTGAAAAGTATCCATCCTGTACAAGGGGAGAGGGCAAATAACTGTGCTGAGCACAAAGTTGGCTTGCAGATCCAGTCTTTTCCTGCCATTGAGCTGGACCTTTTGTGCACTGAGTGCATTTGGGAGAACAAGGACTCTTTCATTATTTCCTGTTCTTAGGTGTAGTAGGGAAAAAATGTGTAGGTGTCACAAATGGAGTACTAGCAAGTCACCTTTTTATCATTTTAAATGAGAGCTGCAGTTTAGTTGCTGGGAGTTGTTCTTAACTGGTGTAAATTTGAGCTACACAAAAAAAAAAAATAAAATAATGCTTGAGCATATTATCAAAGGCTATAGCCATCCCTGTGACTGGGGGATGCAAGGCAGACCACTGCCTACACTGTATGTTCCATTTGCTGATACCCTACGATATGTGACTATGTGTACACAAACAAGTGTGTGTGTAAAGAAACATCTCCATGTAAGATGTTTATAAAAATGTAAACAGGGGAAAAAAAAAAAATCCGTGCTGATTTTTAGATGTTTAAAAACTGGATATGCCAGTCCCAAGGCTTGATTCCACAGCTGTTGCAAGTGCAGGAATTTTTGTACTTCAGTGAAATTTTCTAGTCAGTTGTTCCTAGGAACAAGCAAGTCTCTTGTTCTGCTCTGGTAACTGCTCTGCATAATTCTGAGAAACTGAAGTGTTCTCTTCGGAATATGACCGCAGAGGGCTTTGGTTTAGCAAATTATTTAAAGTCTAACTTTAAACAGATTTTTAAGCCAAAATGTTCACCAAAGTAGGTGTTTCACTTTAAATATTTTAAGTCCAGCTGACATCACTATACGTACCTTATTGATTTAGAAACAATATCTTTAGATCCCAACACATTGTGCATGCTGTTAAATTGGTTAAATTTCAGTATCTTCTCAAGAATAAAATATATGATAGCATTTTCTTTTTTCTCCAGAAAATGAAAGCAGACCTAAATATGAAGAAGTCACTACTGAATACCTTGGAAAACGAGCTGCAGAGAACACTTCAGATTCACTCACAGTCTTGCCAGTCATATACTCTGTATGACATGGACATTGGAAAGTACTGTGACAAAGTTACCCAGCTAATAGACCGCTGGCAGAGAGCTGATAAGCAGATAGATAACAGGTTTGTTCATATTTCCACAGCTTTTTTTCTTATTGCTATTGCTACCAAGATCATCTTAACAGTGAGTCTAAAAAAAAATGATGTGCACTAACCTTCACTTCTAAAGGACAAATGGTGTCTTCAGGGCAATAAGACTTGAGCAACTGTGAATAGATTGAACATACTTTAAAAAGGATTGTGTAAGTCCAAGCAGTAAAATGTAGGTAGCCATGTAAATGTCTAATCTATGTGCTAAGGAGCTGTTCTCATTTTCTTTTTTGTTTTAATTCTTGATGATGTCCTTGGATTAAGTACTTCCGATCAGCGGTTTCCCTCCCAAACAAAGCAACCATGTTTATTGCTGAATACCCTATACCTGAGGATTAAAAAAATAGCAGTAGGAATTAAGTAAAAAAATCTGGATCTTGTATCTGAATCTTAAACTGAAGGCATATTCTGATTATTTGTGGGTGGGGCGAAGGTTAGGGTTTGGTTTGGTTCAATTAATTTTGTTTTTACTTGAGGACAAAATGTAGTACTACTAATAAAAATTGACTGGTTACTGGTTGTTCAGTGAAAATTTAGAACAAGAATCCTGAAGTCAATGAACTTGACTCTTGTGACTGCAAGGTTTTATCCATCCCTAACTTAATTGACAGGAAGGCCCAACCTCTGTGTATTAGTTACTCAAAAATAAGGCACTAAAACCCCATATCGGATGACTAATAATCATTAAAATTCTCATTTATTTGAAATTTTTGTTCAGAATCTCTTATTCAGAGCTTCCCATAGTTTTACATGGTTTACTACTGTGTCTCATTTTTGAAAATTGTGCAAAGAGAGAGAAAGAGAATGCACTTTGACATTCATTTTGACTTTTTTTTCCCTTTTTTTTTCTAGATTGTGGGATTTAGAAAGGCAGATCAAACAGCTGAAAACTTACAGAGATCTCTACCAGGCTCTGTGCAAATGGATCTGTGACGCCAAGCGTCGGCAGGATTCTATTGAGTCCACGAAGCTGTGTGATTCCAACACTATCATGAGATATCTACATGATCAGAAGGTATGCAGCACCTGAATGAGTTGTCTTCTGTTATCTGTTTTGCTGTACAGAAAATATCAGTATCAATGCAGTCTGCAATTCAGTGACCTGTTTTCAATTAAAAAGTACATAAGCTACCAAAAACCACCGTGTCTAGAAGGCAGGGGAGAGGAAATATTATTATCCTCATTACTTTCTGTCAGCACTGCTACTGATTATGAACAAGACTGTTTCTGGCTCCTATGCTGACACTTTTACACATCAGCTTTGAATTAATTCAAGGGACTGTAAGATGGTGCAATTTATGGGACAAATTACAGCACAAAAATGAAAAGTGAGGAAATAATCTGAACTAAAGTCAAGGAACTCTCCCTCCCCACCACTGGGGTGTGTTCAGTTGTTGGGTGTTCTTTCTGAGAACAACCTACTCATGCACAGAGAGCTTGCTATTGCAAAAACTACCCACCTACAGGTCACTTCAGGTCGCAGCCCCAGGGGTTGCAGTAGTCTCCTGCTGCAGGTGCTTTCTGATGGAGGCAGCATGTACAGGAGGAAATACTGGTAAGTCTTGAGGGAGTGTTTCATGGCTCACTTTTTTCTTGACAGAACTTGCACAGTGAAATCTGTGGGAAGAGAGACAAAGTTGAGGAGCTTCTCAAGCATGCAGATCAGTGCTCAGCTGCAATTAAGGTACTTGGGTCTCAGCATTTTTATGGGGTGTGGTTTTTCATGGTCAGGCGCATCTCATTGTTATTGTCATTCTCTGCTGACGGGTGAGAAGTTGGCTCCCTGATGTGTGTGTACAGAAATTGCTGGGGTAAAGCACTTTTGTGTATAAAATACAATGAAAGCAATTTTGTACTTGCCACCTGAAGACTATGTGATCATGCAGAAGGTACCAGTGAGAGCTTCTCTTCAGGTGAAGTGAAGCCTCCTTCTAGCCAGACTAAACTTTCCAGTTCACATGTTAAAAAATATAAGGGAGTGAAGAACAGATTGGTATCTTATGAATTCGATCTGATTAGGATCTGATCTAGGAGGAAAGACAAATGCAGGTTAGCAGGAGGAATGGTGTGCAATAGCCATGCAAACCAATAATATACAGAGGGAATGGTTTTGTGGTCCTTGTATTTTTATGTCACCTTTATATCTGTGCTTTCTGCAGCTCAGTCTTACTCTCTCTGACAAAGATTTTGCTAAATATGTGACATGGCATATGTGATACAAAAGAGATGGAGAGACAGTTATTTCTGATGAAGTTTTGGTTGATAACAGTGCTTAGAGTAGTTGCTCCCATGAATCTTTCTCATTTCCACATAGTGCTCCACTAACAGAAACACTTGTCTTCTCTTTTTTGTAAAACATTTTTTCTCTTTTTTCCTTGTCATTTTCCCCTATGAATCTCCACAGTGGTACTTGAACTGATGAGCTTCTGCTTATGACAGAGGATCATCTGAACATGGCCAGAAATATAAACAAGGGAAAAACATAGCTTTTATTAAGAAAACAAAACCAGAACAACCCAAAACTTTGCATTTTCTGAAATACAGATTCCCACAGAATTCCTTGGCAGTTGCTAAAAGAGGGCTTACTTTTCGTCTTGTTTTTCAGGACTATGAACTACAGGTTGCTTCCTACAGTTCGGGATTAGAAACATTGCTCAACATACCTATCAAGAAGAGTGTGGTTCAGTCTCCTGCAGTGCTGATTCTACAAGAGGTATCTTTCTTTCCTCCCCACCAATCTTTTGAATACATTTGTTTGTCCATGTGAGCCATTCTGAGTCATATCCAGCTGTATTCTAATAATTAGCCCTGTCACTGGCAATGTGCACTAAGCACGTAAGCACAAGGAATTAGTGCAGAATAGTCTCTGTGCTGTACAATCAGACTTGGGCTTGTTTAGACAGTAGATTAGCCCTCAGGAATTTACCTCATTCCTATTCAGTGTCCATTGCATACATATTGTGAGAAAGGAAGATTTGTGGTTTAGTCACTTTCAACCTGGGAATTAACTACTATTAAAAATTTAACTGAGGTTACTCGTGACTGTCAGACAGGAAGAGCACGATGAACCAGGGGATGAAGGCTTGGGTTTAATATCAGATCAGCCATGGGGGAAAAAAATCTTGAAAAAAAAAAGTGTGGGTTTTTCAGAAGGAAAAATTTGTATATTTGGGATCCTCAGAAAGTCATGTGGATTTGTGAGGAGAATTTGCTTTTTACTTTGTCAAGTGATATGTTTCCTCAAGTGGATTGGAATCTTCTAAATGATCTGGGCATAGGTATATTCCTATCTAACTCTGTGGTACAAGCTGCTAACAATTATCTTTTTTTTTTTTTTTTAAGGCTAATGAGGCTCAGTCTCGCTATATAGAGCTTCTTACAAGATCAGGAGATTATTACAGATTCTTGAGTGAAATGTTAAAAAGTATGGAGGATTTGAAGGTATTCTAATCCTTTTATTTTCTTTACCTTTTATTTTTATCATATATTAGCAAACTATCACTGACCAGAGACAGAATGTACAGTGTAAAATAGTGCACAAAACTATATCCTGAACTCAGAGGTGTCCTATGAAGGAGACATACTAGCAGTGTCATGCATTTTTTGTGAAAGAGTACAGTGTCTTACAAAGTTACCTCCAAGGTCATGTAGGAGGTGAGGTGGAGAACACTGCCCTTCTTGGTAAATAGGAGGTGCTCATCAAAGCATGTAAGAGATCCTTCTCTACCCATCCCAGCCTTGACCTCAGTGAGAGTACAGTTATGTCAGTGCTGAAAACTTGCTCCTCATAGTTAAGGGCACCTCATTTCAGGCCATATTCTAAAGTGTATCAAAAGGAGCAATTCCTGCTTTGATACAGCTCAGTGAAACAGAGAGGCCCATTTAGGAAGTCACATATACAGAATGTGACGCCCCTGTTTGAAAATCGTGGAGGTTCTAAAGGCGACTATTTCATACTTCGCCAGTGAACTTTTGGTACACCAGATTTTACTCTCTGTATTGCATCTCCCTCCCCTCATCAAGTATCATTTCCCCTCTGAAAGTCATTGTGCTTTTTTCTGAATAAGGTTTGACTCTGAATAAATAAGGATTCCAGAATTTGTCTTGATGACATTAAATAAAAAAGGATTTTTAGCTGTCATTGAAGGAGTGAAAAAAATACTTTCAAGTTGTCAGTGTTACAAATACATATTGTATATTGTAGTGCATGTGATGATTTTGCAACAGTTGTCACAAGCATTTATGTGAGTTTTTCTGTTTGTTTGTCTTTCTGCTATCATGTTGCAGATGAAAAACACCAAAATTGAACTTCTGGAAGAAGAGCTCAGGCTTGCTAGGGATTCAAATTCAGAGACAAGCAACAAACATAAATTCCTGGAGCAAAATCTGCAGAAGTACCAGATGGATATTTCTCAGCTCAAGGCAAAGCTGATGAGTTTGGAGGAGATGAAAAGACAAGCTGAAATGGATGGAAATTCTGCTAAGCAAAACCTGGACAAATGCTATGCTCAAATAAAAGATCTAAATGACAGGATAACCAGGTTGACTTATGAGACTGAAGATGAGAAAAGGAAAAGGAAGTTGCTGGAGGATAGATATGAGCAGCAGAAGAATGACTATGACCAGCTGCAAAAAACAAGACAAAATGAGAAAGACAGCCTTGGTTGGCAAAAGTTAGAGTCTGAGAAGGTCATCAAGGAGAAGGAGTACGAGATAGAAAGATTAAGGGTTCTTCTTCAGGACGAAGGCACACGGAAGAGGGAATATGAAAATGAGCTGGCTAAGGTAAGAAACCAGTTTAGCGAGGAGATGAGTAATTTAAAGAACAAGTATGAAACAGAAATTAATATTAAGAAGACCACAATCCAGCAGATAGCTGCACAAAAAGATGATGATGCCAAAGGCCTCAGAGCCCAGGTTGACAGACTGACAAGAGAAAACAGAGACCTTAAGGATGAGATTGTGAGGCTGAATGATGCCATTCTGCAAACGACAGATCAACGGCGGAGGGCAGAAGAAGATGCTCTTCAGCAGAAGGCTTGCAGTTCTGAGGTGTCACAGCAAAAGCATCAGTTAGAGCTGGAGCTGAAACAGATCATTCAGCTTCGTGGTGAAGACAACTCAAGATACAAGCAGGCTCTTGAGGAGGCTGCCTCAACTATTCAGGATAAAACTAAGGAGCTGGAAAGGCTAAAGCTTCAGCTTCAGGAAGAGGCTAAAAGCCGATGGGAACTTGAAAATGAATTGGCTAAGGTAAGAAACAGTTATGATGAGGAAATTATTAGTTTAAAGAACAAATATGAAACTGAGATTAATATCACAAAGAACACAATTCACCAGGTGACCATGCAAAAGGAAGAGGAGACAAATAATTATAGAACACAACTTGATAATGCCATGAGAGAAAATAGGAATTTGTGTGAGGAAATTAGGAGACTGAAGAATACAATAAGTCAGACAACAGACAATCTACGGAAAATAGAAGAGAATGCTCAGCAGCAGAAGGCAGCGGGCTCAGAGCTTTCTCAGAAGAAACAGCAGCTGGAGATTGAGCTAAAACAAGTTATTCAGAGGCACTCTGATGAAAGCATGCGGTACAAGCAGTCACTTGATGATGCTTCTAAGACCATTAAGGAAAGAAACAAAGAGATTGAAAGGCTGAGAAAGTTGCTGGATGTAGAAACAAGTCAGAGGAAAGAAGTGGAGGATGAAAACAATCAGTTAAAAAGAGTCCAGTTTGACCTGCAGAAAGCAAACACGAGTGCTACTGAGACAATTAACAAGCTGAGGATCCAAGAGCAGGAACTGGCCAGACTGAAAATTGACTATGAAAGAGTTTCACAAGAGAAAAAAGGCAGGGATCAAGAAACTGCAAAGTTCCAGAGCACTGTAAAAGACTTGCAGATCCAGAAACATAAGTTGGAGGAGGAACTTTGCAGACAGAATAAAAATTTAATGGAGGAGACGTCCAGGAGGAAGAAATTGGAAGAGGAAGTAGAAGGCATGAGGAGATCTCTCAGAGACCAATCAGTTAAAATAACTAATCTTACACAGCAGATAGAGGAAGTATCTATTGTAAAGAAGAGAAATGAAGATGACCTTAGACACCAAAGAGAAGTATTAGATGGTCATGTGAGAGAGAAGCAAAGATACATGGAGGAGATAAGAAAATACACATCCGATATTGAGACTTTACGTCGTCAGTTGGTCCAAGAACAGGAGCAATTAAAACAGGCTCACCTACGATATGAGCACTTACAGAAAACCTCTGAGGAAAAAAGCAAAGCCTTGAATGAGTGCAAAATAGAAATCGAAAGGCTTCAGTCTCTCACCGAGAACCTAACGAAGGAACACTTGTTACTGGAGGAAGAGCTGCGAAATGTTAGATTGGAGTACGATGATCTCAGAATGGTCAGAAGTGAAGTTGATGAGAAAAATACCACCATTGCTGAACTAAAGAATCAGCTTCAGATGAGCAGCAAGCAAACCCTGGAACTTCAGGGGTTGATTAATGATTTACAGAAAGAAAGGGAAAAATTGAGACAGGAAATTGAAAAATTCCAAAAGCAAGCTCTAGAGGTATTCAAATATATTTTGATCCCAGCTTTACTGTCTCTCAGCTATATAATTAATTGCAGTGTCCATTTGAACAAATTAATTCACCCTTTGCTGTTTGAAGTCACTGCACTTGTGATTAACATTCCCTTTATGACTTTCTCTTATTAACTTTTAAATAAAAATGGCAGGATTTGGCCGCTTCCTTAGCCTCTTTACTCCCTGGAAGTTCTAGGGATCCATAAGATGTCTTATCATCTAGCCAAGCCTTGCCTTCAGCCCTTGCCCCAGGAGAAACGTGGGCTCCGTGCCAGCCTCCACCAAACCATCCTAGGGGAAGATGAGAGTAAATGGAGTACAACTGTGCTTTAATCGTCCCCTGCTGGCTGTGTGCTTCCCCGGGGTATTTCAGACAGGATGGGTTAAAGCAGTCCTTTGAGGCTGACCTGAGTGCTGTCACAAACTAAACCGGCTAAAAACCCCAGAACCAACAAGCTGTCAAAGTGCTGCTTAGCTGGTAAGGTGGTGACTACAAGTGAGGATTAAAGATCATGTTGTCAGCTGTACCTAAAGTACTTAAAGCCTACATGTCATTGACTGTTTTGGGGATTTATGTTCCTAAGTCACCAAGGGGATTTGCAAATTTTACGATTGGCCCTTATTTCTAAAACTCTAGGTGACAACGTAAGTTTAAGAAAATATTTTTCGTATTTTATTCTGCATGGTTTCTTGTTCAAAGAGGTACTTTTTAAATACATACAAGTGAGTGCTTGTGAAAATGTTTCTTTGTTTTTTCTTATATTTTCCCCTTTTCTCATTCCTATTCCCAGTTATTCTTTCCTTTATTCAGTTTTTCTTTCCTTTATTTTAAAAATCTTAATAATGGTTTCTAAAAAATACTAACATTTAGGATTATATAACATCTGTGCATATATATATATATATGCATGTGTTACAAACAGATAAACTTGTATTCAGTTTAATATGGACTGCATACAAATATGCATGCTTGTGGGTGTTTGTGTATGGGTGTACAGATATGAAGACATTATGTGAATTAAAACATAAAGCAACACAGGTAAAGTTGTTTGGAGTAACATGTGAAACTAACAGAAAAGCAAAAATCAAGTAATATATTTCCTTTTTATCCATGTATGACCAGTCCTCAGCCCATAGAAATTCACCCAGGTTAGTAGGACTGCCAGGGATGGGGATGTCTGCTGAGCATCAGACTATTAGTTAGTCTTGAATGCTCTGTGTATTTGTTGGTGTACTGTGAGTAGTATCAAAAAGTTATAAAGAGAGAACTAAATAAGCAGAAAATCAGGGCTATGGATAACAGAATGGAGTCTCCAAGTCTCAGGTGGCACTAGAGACACTGTCAGTGAAGGGATAATGTACCTTCTCTGGTTTAAAGTGTATCTATGGTCTTGGGTAAGGCACTGCTGTGACTAGAATGTTTTCCAGTGGCAGCTTGCTGCAGGTTAAATGACAGGCTGAAGAGCATTGTAAGTGGAGGACATAACTCTAACCAGCATAAACTCTAACCATGCTTTCTTGGTTTATTTCTTCTTCACAATTGTAGGCATCCAATAGGATTCAAGAATCCAAAAATCAGTATAGTCACATTATGCAAGAAAGAGAAACCCTACTGATAAAAATGAGTGCTTTGGAGCAAGACAAAGCCAGGCTGCAGAGATTAGAAGAGGAGCTGAACCGTTTGAAAGTTACCCTGGAATCAGAGTCACGTTTGAAGCAACGCCTGGAAAGTGAGAAGCAACAAATACTGAATGACCTCAATCAGTGGAAGAGCCAACACTCCCGAACAGAGGAATCGATAAGGAAGATCCAATGTGAAAGAGAGAAGAGTGAGAGGGAGAAGAATAGCCTGAGGAGTGAGATTGAAAGGCTGCAGATGGAAATCAAACGGATTGAGGAGAGATACCGGTGCAGACTGGAAGAGACCACTGTCAAAAACCAGTCGGAACTGGAGTCTGAGCGTCTCAGGCTGCAAAGAGAGATTGAGAAACTGAAGCAACGCCCATATGGGTCTCACAGATCTACGCAGACTGAGGAAGACTTTTGTATTGATGCCTCCAAGCTGCTGTTCAGTGGGTTGCGGAAGAAGATTACAGCAATGCAGCTGTATGAGTGTCAACTGATAGACAAACTCACACTGGATAAACTGCTGAAGGGGCAGAGGTCAGTGGAAGAAGTCGCGGCTGACATTGAACCCTACCTCAAAGGGGCAGGAGCTATTGCAGGGGTGTCACTTTCGCCCAGACAGAAGTACTCTTTTGTGGAGGCCAAACGGAATCAGCTGCTTACAGCAGAAAATGCAGTCCTGCTCTTAGAAGCCCAGGCAGCAACAGGAGGTGTGATAGACCCGCACCGGAATGAGATGTTGACCGTGGACAGTGCTATTGCCAGAGATCTGATCGACTTTGATGACAGAGAACAAATCTATACAGCAGAAAAGGCTATTACAGGTTTTAAAGATCCTTTCTCAGGCAAAACTGTGCCAGTATCTGAAGCCATCAAGAAAAATTTGGTTGACAGAGAAACTGGGATTCGTCTGCTGGAAGCCCAGCTGGCTGTAGGAGGGATTGTTGATCCTGTCAACAGTGTTTTTCTACCCAAAGATATAGCTCTATCTCGTGGGTTGATTGACAAAGACCTCTACAGGTTACTAAACAACTGCCAAGGCAATGCAAAGAACTTCATTGATCCCACCACCAAAAAGGCAGTCACTTACATGCAGCTGAAAGAAAAATGCAGGATTGAACCACACACTGGTCTGCTCCTACTTCCAGTGCAGAAGAGGAGTATGTCCTTCCAAGGGATCAGGCAGCCTGTCTCAGCAGATGCACTGCTTGAGGCTGGAATAATCAAGGAATCAACAAGGAATGACTTGGAAAGAGGTGCAATTACAGTGGAAGAAGTGAGCGAGAGAATTATTGATTTCCTTCAGGGCTCTAGCTGTATAGCTGGTATCTATAATGAGGCTACTAAAGAGAAACTCGGAATTTACCAAGCTATGAAAATAGGTTTGGTTAGGCCAGGGACAGCCCTTGAACTCCTAGAAGCCCAGGCGGCCACAGGGTTCATAGTAGATCCTGTCAGCAACGTGAGGCTGCCAGTTGAGGAAGCTTACAAAAGAGGCCTTGTTGGAATTGAATTTAAAGAGAAACTTCTCTCTGCTGAAAGAGCTGTCACTGGGTACAAAGACCCAGAAACTGGAAACATCATTTCTCTGTTCCAAGCAATGAACAAAGAGCTCATAGAGAGAGGCCACGGTATTCGTCTGCTGGAGGCCCAGATTGCTACTGGAGGAATCATTGACCCCAAAGAGAGCTACCGCTTACCGGTAGAGACAGCCTACAAACGCGGCTACTTCAATGAAGAGCTCAACCAGATCCTTAGTGATCCAAGTGATGACACCAAAGGGTTCTTTGATCCCAACACAGAGGAAAACTTGACCTACTTGCAACTGAAAGAAAGATGCATAAAGGATGATGCAACAGGGCTCTGCCTTCTACCCCTGAGAGAGAAGAAGAAGGTGGTGCACACCTCACAGAAGAACACCCTTAGGAAGCGCAGGGTTGTCATTGTAGATCCAGAAACAAACAGGGAAATGTCCGTGCAGGAGGCATACAGCAAAGGCCTCATAGATTATGACACCTATACAGAACTAGCTGAGCAGGAGTGTGAGTGGGAAGAAATAACTATTACAGGATCAGATGGCAGCAGCAGAGTTGTCCTTGTTGACAGAAAAACAGGTAGCCAATATGACATCCAAGATGCTATTGATAAAGGTCTGGTGGAGAGGAAGTTTTTTGACCAGTACCGTTCTGGCAGTTTAAGCCTAACGCAGTTTGCAGACATGATTTCCTGCCGTAACGGCACTGATGAGGTGTTTCGGCATGAGTCAGTGACTCGGTCTCCCACGGTGCTGAGTGTCAGGAGTTCTTCTTCGTTGATCAGAAGCGGTTCTTTCTCAGAGACGCCAGATGAGTGCAGTCCTATTGCAGCCATATTTGACACAGAAAACTTGGAAAAAATCTCCATTTCAGAAGCTATACAGCGGGGCATTGTGGATAGCATCACCGGGCAGCGGTTACTCGAAGCCCAGGCCTGCACAGGGGGCATAATATGCCCTACTACCGGCCAGAGGCTTTCGCTTCAGGAAGCCACTGGTCAAGGCATCATCGATCAGGACATGGCCACACGTCTCAAACCAGCCCAGAAGGCCTTCATAGGGTTTGAAGGCATAAAGGGAGGACGGAAGAGGATGTCTGCAGCTGAAGCAGTGAAGGAAAAATGGCTGCCTTATGAGGCTGGGCAGCGGTTCCTTGAATTCCAGTACCTCACTGGAGGTCTTGTGGACCCAGAAGTGCGTGGAAGAATAAGCACTGAAGAAGCCATTAGAAACGGATTGATTGACGGTCGCGCTGCCCAGAAATTACAAGACACCAACAACTATCCCAAAATTCTGACCTGCCCGAAAACCAAGCTGAAAATATCCTACAAAGATGCAATGAATCGGTCAATGGTGGAAGACATCACAGGGCTTAAACTCTTGGAAGCAGCCTCTGTTTCCTCTAAAGGCATATCCAGTCCCTACAATGTCTCCTCTGCACCCGGCTCTCGCTCTGGCTCTCGCTCTGGCTCACGTTCAGGCTCACGCAGTGGGTCTAGGAGGGGAAGCTTTGATGCATCAGCAAGTTCTTCATATTCATATTCATACTCAACCTTCAGCAGTGGGTCTATTGGGCGCTAATAACAAGTGAGGGGATGTGTCTGCATTTTATTATCAGTTAGATTATTCTATATTTCCTTTCCAAGAAGAAAAAAAAAACATCAACAAAGTATCCCAAAGCAAAACCTTGAAGCCTTTTCTGGGTGTGTTACACTACTCTTCTGAAAAAGCTGTAAAATGCTTGAATGCAAACTTACAGGTTAGGGAATGCAAAAGTAATATTTGTGAATTTTGAGGTTTGGTTCCGATTTCCTTTTAGTGTTTGGATTTTAATAGGTCTCTGTATATTTTAAATACTGTGTCGTGCCTTCTCCTGTTATCCATAACTGTCAATCCATAAGGTGATAACTGAGGTTTGAAAATCTTGCAGTAGTTAATTTTTTTCCACATAGACCTTTTTCAATTTGCTATTATGTGGATAGAAAATGCCCTTAATATTGGTTTAGAATCTATACCATAAACATGAAACTGTCTTTCAGATGCTCTACTACTTTATGTTTGGCTACTCATTTTCTGAAGTATAGCTTGGTGGATATAAAGGGCTATTATTGGACTGGGCTTTTGTTTTACTGTTACCCATATACATTTTCTACTGTTTTGCTTGATTTCCCTGTAACAAAAAAAAATAAAATCTAAATGCACCATGTGACCTCTTGTCGGCAATAAACTTCTGAAGTTTTAAAATATGTGGTGTGTACTTATTAAGTTTATCTGTGGACATTCTTGGAGGTGCAGGTTAAAGAAAGAACCATTTTTAAAAGTAGCAAACACCAGCTATGTTATAAAGAATGTACAGGCACATTATTTTTCATGATCTGAGACATCACTTTTATGAATGTGGACTTCTGATTCTGTATTTTCAGTAGGAAAAGGAAGATAGCACCAATAAGGGAAACTATGCCCCAGAAGCAGAAAGCCTGTTTGCACAGTTGTTTATAGACTTGATGATGATAATGACGATCAGAAGCATGTTTCTTCTGCTTGTCATCCAGCTCATTATCTCTGCAGCTGCAAGGGACTGAGTCAGATTCTCTCTTACACATTGATGTTACTTGAGCAAAACAAAGAACTGGCTGGCTTAGCTGGCCAGTATGAAAGATGCACAGGAGCATCTTTCAAAACCTGAACAATCACCTCCTGTAATGTCCTTCCTCCTCTTCTGCTGGCTCCCGAAAGCCTAGGCTGAGAAAATACCAATAGGATATCAATGTTGGCATGATGTCTTCTTGTCCTCACTTCTATGTAGGCTGTTGGCAGCCTTCTGGTTCCTTTTATCGGAGTTGAGAAAGTTCCTCAGATGAGAAACCAGAGCAGGATGAAATGACCACAGTGTTAGAGGACACAAAAGTGATTTGAAGCTACTTCAGCTCTAATTAATGTTCCTTAGCCAGTGTGGAAAATGACTTGTATACATTGTCCTCTCCCCTTTGGCACACAGTGCAGATACCTCTGAGTAAGCACTTTGTTCTCAGCAGAGTCATTGATCACATACAAGAATTTAGTATGGTTTTATACAACTGCTCATACAGTGCTTTAATGACAAAACTATTAGTATAATTTGCCAGTAGCTGAAATAAATTCCTCCTTTAAGCAGTTTAAAGCACATAGCTGCTTTTAGTCCTGTACCATGTACATACTCTATGAATTTGATCAGTTGCTATAGATAGAAAGAAGCTGATGGGCATAAATGCTAGTCACTGTTAATGATGCTACCTAATTTTTTGGTAGCACATTTCTTTTCCGCAGTAAGGAATAGCACAGGTTTTGATCCTGCTCTCTCTGGATAAAGTTTACCCTTTAGCCTGAGAAGCATTTTCAGTGTTTTCTGAAGATAAAAGCTATGTATAAAATCTCTGCCATATATAAAGTATCCTCAGTTACTGGACTAAGAAATTAAATGGACTGGTGGAAGTCAATGTTGGAAAGTAAGTGAGAAAGTGCCTCCTGTCTCCTAGGAAACTCCACAGTTTCAGAGATTTCTCTCTACAGCTGAGTTCATTAGCTGTATCATAGAGGAAGAGTCAATGTTGGAACAGCTTTTTGACTGCTAGGGAGAAACAATCCTGTAAAAAAATCACTGTTTTATTTAATCCCAGTCTGTCTCTGCAGTTTTAAATGACTATGAGGTTCCTGCAGTCTACAGAAAAAGCAAAACTGGTCATTACTGAAGGGAAGTCCACTGTTGGGTGCATGCACCCCTGCAGTTTGCATGGGTTGAAAAATCCTGCACACTTCACAGCAGACTGGGCTTATGTTTTTTTGCTCAGGTCACTCCTGGCATCTCTTTTAGGTTGTTTAAAGCTCCATCCTTACATAATACCCACATTTCTAACTACTCAATCAACCTTTTGTCCTGTCATGGTGACTGAAATATGAGGTAATCTCACAGAAATTATGATGATAGTGCTTTCCCCTTGCATACGCTCCAGCAGCAGCTGCTTGTGTGGCATTAGTGGTGGCTTTATGCAGCCAGAGAAGCAGGAGACTCAGGTGCCCAGGTCCTGAGTAGCAGCTGAGCCAGAGTAGGCAGCTGGGGCACGACACTGCTGGCATGGGATAATAAAGAGATGAGTTGGGAGTTTTTCTCCACCATAAAGCAGTGCTGAGGAAGGAGCTTTGGAAGAATCTCTCATTTCCAGAGCTGAGGTTGGGCACTTGCAACCCTGTGGATAGGTCTGGCAGACAGATGCGTGACAGGTGAGCACACCCAGGGGGCCAGTGTTGCAGAGCTGAGGAGACTGCATTTGTCTCCTCAGTGCTCAGCGTTTTTGAGATAGGAGAGCCTTGCCTAGGGTTTGAAGAGCAGGCAGGCTGTGATTTGTTATGGTGTGATGTAGCCGGGGCACAGAGATGAGTGTGGGGCTGCTGCCGTGGATTTGGGGCTGGGTGTTCATAGGATCTGTTACTCTTTTGCACCCTAGGTGGAATGAACTCTATTCAAGGATTCTAAAAAGAAAGACTGGCAACTTTGGATGATCTCTGCTGCTGAGACAGTAATTCCTTGGTATTGAAAAGCCTGAATGAACTTGTTGGTCCAGGCTGTAGCAGTGAGCGCTTCCCTGTGCTGGGAGGAGTGCTGGGCTGAGTGTACTCATCAGCAGCCTTGTAGTTTCCAGTCACTCCTCTGAATTTTCTGTCTCCTACTTCCTCCCTGTGCCTCAGGGTAGGTGATGCTCACTCTCTTCAATGGTGAATGGTTGCCCAGTGTGCTGACTTGGCTGCTGTGGCTGGGGACGGTTCAGTCATTAGCAGGCTCAACTCCTAAGAGAATTGGGCTTTGTTCTGAGTAGGATTGAAATATATTTACAAGACTTTTATTGACTGATTTAATGGCCTTGATGTTGTGAATTTGTTGTCCTTCGTTTTGAGGCTGGGAAATAACTACCGCCCCAAAGTGTGTAAAGCACCATATGGTTTGTGCAATCCAGCAGTGCTCAAGACAGAGTTTTGTCTGTCTTAGGCTATTTGGGAATGTACACATGCCACGGTTAATTAATAACCTAACCTTATGAATACGGAAGGGGGTGGAGAGGTTCACAGAATAGCAAAAACATGACTTTGTATAAAAATATTTCAATTATTACTAAATTATAAGTATTTACACAGAGGGTGGGGTTTGGTTGGTTTTTGTTCTGGATTTGTTCCAATTTTTATATGGTTTTATAATATAAATGTGGAAGAGTTATTTACCTTGTTGGAGTTTCTGTAAATCTCGGCTGTTCCGAGAGGAGCAGAATTTACATGTGTAATTCTCTCAGGATAATGTTATACTCGAAAATACTTTCTTGCCCAAACAGTATGAGACCCTGAGCCCCACAATGCAGGTTGTGCATAGCCCCTCTGCTTCTCTGTGTCCTGTGTTCAATAGCTTGGTGTTTAATGATTATGTAATTGTGATGGAGTTTTAATATTTTTTGTCCTCAGTTACATCAAATACACAATTGGTACATTTATATCTGCATCATACTATAAGGAAAAAGCAATATTTGGGGCTCCATTCGTTATCTGTCAGAGCCAGTTCCAGCTTTAGTAGTTTATCAGCAAAATATTTTATGGTAGCATTAATCCACTGGGAGACTACTTTAGGAGAGTTGAACATCCATCTGTTAATACATGAGATGTTTAAGTGGCTGACCCCTCTGTAGATTCCTGTTCTGTTGGGAAAGTATGTAATGCAATTGTTTGCTTCACACAGTCCAAGTGCACCTGGTGAACAAGGGACTGCTGGATACCCAGAGTGGCCACTGTGTTCGGGGGCTGCATTTTGCCTGGCTGCCTGTCTCAGGCAGCCATGGGATATCCAGGGGACCCTGAAAGGGGAAAGCAAGTCTGTATAAAGAAAATATTCTGTAAGAGTGAACTCTCCACCGTGCATCACAAAGTCATCTGCTCATGCTGCTTTGACCAGGAGTGATTCCATGAGATGGGGTGAAAATGTACTAGTGTAAAATTTAAGGAGGATCCAAGTCCAGCACATGCTTCAGAGAAGTATCAGTAATACAAGAAAATGATGAGGTTTAGGGGGTCAGTGGAAAATGAGCAGCAAAGCACATGCTTTCTCTTAAATTCCCCAGTATGTGCAGCACCCTCCATGCAAATCATAGAATCATTGAGGTTAGAAAAGACCTCTAAGGTCATCAAGTCCAGCTTTTAACCTAATTGTGTCTATTTAATTAGAAGTGGCTGTCATTCAACGTATACATTACCTCCAAGACCATGGCATCCATCTAAACCAGAGACATCTCTGCCCAAATTGCCCTTTTACCTCTTTGTCTTTTGCAGGACGCAAAATAAGAGGAGAACCACATCTGGACATTGTACAATTCTGCTTTGTGAACTGACCAAGGGGCTTTTGGATTCCTACCTGGTTTCCCCTGTTCACTTCAGAAAATCTCATAGGTCCTCTGGGTCCAGGCTCACCATTAAGTACAGGCAGATCAGATTTCTCTTTTTAAAAATATTGCAGTTGTTTGGTTTTTTTTTTTAATTAGGCCAAGAGTAATGTGCTTGTTCTTTATTATATTTTTTTCTCCTATGGAAACACAGTACTGCAAAGTTTTTTACAAGGAAGTAAGGATAGAACTGGGATAGTGCTTGGCTGAGCTAAGGAGTTTAAAAACATAATCCAATTTTCATATTGCTT